GTGGTGATTGATTGGCTTCTTTGGCCGCGTTGGTGAGTTTGGTGACGGCGGAATGATCGGACACCAACCTGGAGCCCTGTGGTTTGGACGGGGAGTTGATGGAGTGTGTTTTGACCCCGTCTGCTGACAATCTCTTTCTTGACAATAAACTCACAGTTGCCGACTGCGCCGCTGTCGACAAGCGTTTCACGGCCACGCCGATTCCTCGCCCCATTTTCACCTGTCGGGTTTGCATTTAAATGTCCCCGCTGTTCCACCGCCTTTGCTTACGCTCACCCTGAATTCCGGTTATGCTCACTTTACATTATTTTGCCACGTGGGGAGTTGGGTATGCATTCACCTGTTGCCACCTGTCAACAATCGCTGAACCAATCGCCAGGATAATGAATTTTATGGAACTGATTGGTGAATGTAGAAGACGCTGTGGGACAAAATAGCTCGAGCCTTGGGGATGTTTTGCGCACTAGTGCAAGCCACGATCAATTATCCAATCGTGACTTGGATCCGTGCGTAAAACTTCCCCGAGCCTGGAATTATTTCGTTCCTTTACATCTTCTACATTCACCAATCCGTTCCAAGGAAGCTTGTGAGGGGGAGGAAAATAAATGAGTGATATTAAAGAGAATGATGTTGAAAATGTTCTCTTCTACATTCACCAATCCGTTCCAAGGAAGCTTGTGAGGGGGAGGAAAATAAATGAGTGGTTTTAAAGAGAATGATGTTGAAAATGTTCTTGCTGGATATGGTGAACATGGCATTAAATGTAGTGTAATGAACACGGAGATGCAGTGATTACGAATTGAGAACATTTGCAGCGGGTGCTGTTTGACTGGTGTGCCGGTCCTGTTATCTTCCTGGTTACGGCTTTGGGACAAAGACCACACATGGTCACTTCCAGGCACGGGGAGCAAAGGTGATTCGTTCCCTACTGCAGCGGGTCGCCACATTTAACACGTTGTTCAAGGACGGGCGACCCCGCTCCAGTCAGTTGTGTGTGTACGCCACACAACCAACCTGGCACTCGCCCTGCACAACAGCGACTACACTGTGGCCGCCTATGAGGATGTGCACAAGAACAGAGCATCGGCTCCAAACTGACGGGAATATGGGCACCGCCTGCCGAGGACCTCTCACGCTACAGTGTTTATCTGGTAATACGAGCGTGGGAACAGGTCAGTGGCACCCAGCATATGAGCGTACAGGGTGGACATTCCATCCAGTCCTTGGCTCCCAAGTTTCTTCGCCCCTTGCTCTTCACCCATGAGGCTCCCACAGCTTAGCCAATCTTCGGACTGTTTGATGCTTTGCACTTGCCATTTTCATCCCACGCAGCGCACGCAGCGTCAGCATAAGACAGTCGTCGTCAGGCAGCCACACGCGAAAAGGGTGGTCACCACGTGTCGTCAAGAACAGCGCTGTTTTGCCACAACAGGCCGTGTCTGTGTCTGGGACAAGTCCGCGCCGACCCCCCGCCCAGGCCCCAACCAGAGGCCAACAGAAATTTCAACCATCAACCGAAGGCCTTCACAGGATTCAACTGCCAAAGTCGACGGGAAGCGGCAGGCGCGTCCGAACAAACGAGCCCATCTCCACTTTTGGTCCGTTGCATCATGTGAAAGGCCCACGATGGCCGGAGCGGCACCTACTAAGCACAGCCACGGGGCAGCCGCGCCAGAAACCACAGCCGTGCTTGGGCCCCCCTCCGACACGGGCCAGCGGTTCCCCTGTGGGAGCCAACTTCGCGCGCCCCCCCGGGCCATGTGAACGGGTCCCCTCCACACCGCGTCCGCCGCCAGACGGCGCAAAAAACACAAAAAAATGAATCCGGCGATGCAATCCTCGACCCCCAGGACACCCCGGGCCCCACCAGACTGCCTCAGTCCCCGCGAGGCGTCCCTCGCCGCGCGGTCGAACGGATCGCCGGGAGCATCTTTGCAGCGGCGGGGGAGGCGCCCGGTCTGCTTCCGTCGTCCGCGGCGAGCCGGCATCGCCCACGCGGGGAGGTCGCCAGCGCCGGTGGTGGCGTGCAGCGGCGTGACAACGCGGCAGAGGGAGGCCGTGCTGCATCGGAGGGAGAGAGCGCACGGCGCGGCGATCACCGCCGCCGTCGTGCTGTCGGACGCGCCAGGTGGGCTGGGCGGGTCGACGCGTGCTCTGGGGCGCGTCATCGAAGATGGGGCGCAGGGAATGTGGGTGGGGTGGGGTGGGGTTGGGGAAGCGGGGTCGGATTTGTTGCAAATGGAAAGAGGAACGGGCCGTGCAGAGGGCGCCCCCTACCATGCAGGCGTGTGGGAGACTCTTTTCCATGTTGCGAGAAGATGATGCAGAGTTCCTGGTGGGAATTGGGGGAAAGGGTTTGGGGGGCATTGGTTCAGGGTTTAGGTACTTTGCCGGCTGGGCAGTCGACGCTGAGAATGGAGCACGGAATCGAGCGTTAAATGCGCCGGGCCGTTGCCTGAGCCCCGGAGACGGCCGCGCGGGAGGCGTGTTCGGCCCGCGCAACGATTCGGGTCTGGCCGTGATGGCCCGTGGGTGTGGATTGGCGGGAGATTTGCGGCAACGCCATGGTTCGGCGGTGGCGGCGTCGAGCGCGTTGCGCCTGTGTTGTGCACCGATATGCAGTGCCGCTGAATGGAAGTGTCGAAGAGCCCAACAGGGACACGTCTTGTGAGTTGAGCCTGACGGCATGACCCACCACAGGAAGGCTGCGCACGTTCCCGCTTCTGCCGCAGTGTCGACTCGCTGGGGACAGAGGATGGAGCGTTTGTTCTTATGCTGACGTCGTCGGAGAATGCTGTGTGGGTGCAATGGCAGTTATTGATCAGATTGTAGCAGAAGTATTGGGGCGTTGCGGGGCGCTGCGCCGCCCCCCAAAACTGCACTTGCCACAAATGGTGATGACACAGCATTGCTTGTGCTGGTCGCACCTTGGCGAGCTATGTGTTGCATTGGCCAGACCATATTTGAGGTTTGTAGTTCTCAGTTCTCAGTTGCATCATTCTGCAGATTTTGTGGCCAGAATCAAGGAAAAGCTCAGCACACTAACTCAAGTACCTCTGTCTGTGGCAGGCTCCTGGATGCTGCTCACTGCGGCACTTGATAAGACCTTGATGTTTTGGAAATATGAAGAGGTGGGATAGGAAGCGTGGATCGCGAGTCTGTCAGCACTGATACTGATCCTCTACATCTGAGCTGGGACTGTGACAGTACTAGTGTGGGCAGCAGGCTTTGTAATTAGAAAGTAGAAAAGCTGTTGCCTTACATTTTCTGAGCCCCTCCCTCAGAGCTGAGTGTGAGGATGGTGTGTGCATGACAATGATCAATTCTGCTGTGCTGATGGTGTTCTAAATAGAACACTTGTAGATTTTGCTGTTCAGCTTGTCCATAACTAGTGCCCAAGTAGCGCCCTGAGAGTGCCAAGTACTGCTCAGCTTTGCAAAGTACTGCCCAAACTCATAAAATACTTTAAAAGCTTTCAAAATGCTATTGAAGTGCTGTTCTTGGATGGGCTTCACAGTCTCACATGCAGATTCTTGCTCCAGGAAGAGGGGGTGGGGTGTGTGGGGGTGTGTGGGTGTGTGTGGGGGTGTGTGGGGGTGTGTGGGGGTGTGTGGGGGTGTGTGGGTGTGTGTGGGGGCGGTTGGGGCCAGTCTCTTGTGCATTACAGATTGGGGTCTTTTTTGGGCATCATTGTTTCCATGGCCACTTTCTTTCCTGATCTGAATGTGAGTGGATCAGCAATTGTGCACAGCCTAAGTGGCACAGGCTTCACAGTCTGAAATATGCCTACAACTGTCTGATGGGATCAGTGACTGACGATTTTATGGGCTGGACGTTGTTCCTGACGATCTGTCCATGCCAACAGCACTTGAACAAGGATGAAACATGGCCACGCAGCAGTGGGATGACATTCTGAACCCTGAGATTGGAACCCGTAATGAGAGTAGAAACAGTACTGATGATTGCCATTGCCAACCTGGCTGACAGATGTTTTCACTCGATTATTATCTTGGTTGATCTGTGCTTGTGGCTGTGCTCTAGTGCGAAACATCTGAAGGTCGACTGGAGCATCGTCAAATCGAGTCAGGTTGCGGACCAGTGTTTTCTTTTGCCCAGGACCTTGGGGAGCGCAGAGAGCACAGTCCAACAGTGTACTGTGGAACAGCACAGCAAACTATCGTTGGTTGGAAGCCACCAGCCGCTTCCCTTATGAAAAAGGTCAGTCTTAATTTGCACTGCACTGTCTTGTTGTGAAGTTCTGTGACGTGTTGCATGTCTTTGTTTCTATCTGTGCATAACACGATTGTTAGGGCCTGCTGAGCCTCTGACCGGAGTATGGGCAGTACTGCATCGTGGTCAGTGCAGTTGTCTGAACATGGAAAATCACTGCCCTTGCACCATCATGTCCTGTTGTGCAATGTTCCCATGAAGAAAATGGCATCCTAGGAGAGTTGTGTTCATGATTCTTAACTGCACATGCTCTACAGAAGTTCTCAAATGCAGAAAAGCAAGCGAAAGAGGCCCCAGGGGGACCGGGAGGAAGATAGGCTGTGTGCCTTTTGTCAGAATATTCTGGTCAGCAGCGCACAAGACTGGCTGGGATGCTTCCTGCGTTCTTCCTTGCGATGGATTTTCCAGATTCCCACCTGTTACATTTAATTCTGTTCTGCAAGTGCTTGCAACCTTGCAGGATCTTTGGACCCTGAGTGATGTTTTCCAGTGTGGGGTGGACAGTGTAGCTTGGGTGCGTCCACTATCCTCTCATATCTTCCTGCAATGCAGGAATGGTCAACAGATACTGACAGTGTTGTGGTGATGTTGTGCTATGCGAAAATCTCTGTGTGGATTCTGCATGGAAGCAGTTAAAAATTCCAACTGCTTGACATTAGCACGCAGGTTATGGAATTTTCTTGAACAGCATCGTCCTCATCTCACATGCAACCGGCTAGCTAAATCGTTCTGTTGAATCCTGAGAATCTTCATTTGCATCACAGCTGCACATGGATGAGCACTGCGGATGGGTCAAGGCACTTGCTACTGATGGCCGCTGGTTGTTCAGGTATGGCTGTGCAGGAATTGGCCAAATGCATTCTTTCTGACTGCAGCGCCTTTGCAGGCAGCCTTCATATGTCAAACCCTGAGCAAATGTTGCATGTTGTGAGCCTGAAGTATGTGGCCCCATCTGGCTGTCCCAAAAAACCTGCAAGTACGCTTGCAGACCATGTTGCAGGTGCACATACTGACCTTCCCATGCCCCGTAACATTGTGTGCTGGTCCACAGCTGTGCATGCAACACTCTTCACCAATGGGACCTGATGTGGACAAACCCGAGGCACGTGGGGAGCACCAAGCTATTTAATGGAGACATTCTGGACATTGCTGCAGGCTCTGGAAAGGTCTTCAGCTGTGGAACTGATGGGGCGATTCATTCTTGGGAGATCTCCAACCAGGCAAGTGCCTGGCCACAAGTGTCTGTGTGTCCCTGTGGCTGCATGGCTTTGTATGTATGCCTCTCTGTGTGTATATGCATTTGTGTATATGTTTTGCAGATTCAGAACCTCAGTGCTGTACTGTGCTATACTATGCTGCACAGCAGCGCAACACTGGGACTTAGATCGTGGAGAGAAGGTAATGTCTCTCCAGTCTTTAAGTGTGGAACTGCAATGGGCTGACACTGTGGCTGGCTCCAAAGAGGCTGGTTTGTCAGCACCACCACTGAATACTCAAGCGGCAGGCGCAAGGCATGTGCCAACTGCACTTGTTAAGGCCACCATGGGCCTGGCAATGCCATGTGGTTGTCTGGACAGATGCAGACAGCAGCTGGCAGTCCTGCAAGCATGCATCACTGGCGAAAGACTGTGATGTGCGACTATGAAAGTTGGACTGGGTTAGCATTTTGAGCACTGCTCCTGTCTGAACTCTGAGCTTTGAATAGTTGATTCATCAGGATATCTGGTTTGGTGCCCTATTGTGCAGTAATTCAGCCATGCAGGACTTGCTCTGGTGTCTGTGCTGGTTGATGAGGCAGTGAGATCGTTCCAGCAGTGTTGTGAAGCGACTGTGAGGCATATTGACACACCTGACGACAGAAGTGTGCCACATGGTCCAATGCGTTGAGCATGGTATTGTTGTAGGATTGTGTTTGTTTTTGCTGATTCTGGTGACACTCTGGCTTTTATGGTGGGATTGAGGTGGCAGCGAGGTGGCACACATTCACAGGATTGTTGTGTTGCAGGGTGGCTTCCAGAAAGCAAATTCCAAGGAGGGGGCGCATCAAGGCCGTGTCAGTAGCATGGCTTTGCACAAAGACATGTTGTACACAGTGGGATTTGATGGTCACCTAAAGGTACGCACCAGTAATGCAGGGCACCAACCAAGATGTGGTTTTGTGGCGAGCAAATGTGAACATTACCGTTTTGGACATACCTTTCTTGCCAGGTCTACTTTTGGGTTTTTCCAACAGTGGTTCAATATTCAGCATGGAAAAGGTGTGCATATGTAAGGCAAGACAATGCCATGGGAATAGAATGACATCACTGGCTTCATTGGCACTTGCTAACTTTCAGAGGCCACAAGCTGCTATTCAAACCCCATATTTCCTTTGCCATGGCTTTGTTGGGGCTTGCCACAGCTGTCGTGCAAGCTCTCGATCGCTTTCGCCACTAGAAGTTCGGATTGGCAGTGGAGCAACGTTGCTCTGATACTACTGTTGGAATGCTATGCGTGCGATTGCCAGGTCTGGGATGCCTCCAGTATGGATCTCTTAGTGGACATAAGTGGAGCCCATGAAGGCAAGAGGATCCGATGTGTCACCATGGGACCAGATGGCACACTGTACACTGGTGGCGATGACAAGGTGGGGCGCATTTGTTCATCTTTGCAGCATTGTACAGAATGGGGAGTTTTAAGATATTCAGTCCATCAAGCGACACTGGGTGTAATTCCTTGATTCACATCTGTTGGAAAGTGATGAAACACGTCCCTTGCACCTGCAAGGCGATGTCAGTCGTCAGTCCGCGTACCGATCGCCCAGTACATGATCGCCATAAACGCCAGCACAATGGGGCTACCTAATAGCGCCCTTCAATAGCGCCCGGCCCCCATTAGCACCCGCTTTTTGGCTTGGTATCGTTTTGGTAGTACACTACGAAGTCCTGCTGTGCGATTGAACCTGAAAACAGTATGTTGGACACACAAAAAGCGCCCAGAAGAGGTATTTGGTAGACCTGCAATGTTCGCTGGTCGTGCACAGAGTCCGGGAGTAGCCATAAACGCTGTAGGAGGTGTTTCTGGTCACCATCAGACCACAGGTGGTCCCAAGCAACCATTCCCGTCATACCGTGTGCAATGACATGTCAAGTTTGTTGCGTGCCGTGAGAATCATTGCGTGGTTTAAGATGCTGCTTTGTGGCAAGAATCGGAACCCAACAGTGAGATAATCACAAACCACAATCGTATTTCTGCAAATCGTTTGTAAATGTGCGAGAAACTGAATGCATCACTAAAGGGCAAGCGTCCAACACAGTGCTCCCCGTGATGTCCAGGGTGCGCCAGTTTCAGGGGTCAAGTTGGCATGTAAACAGCCGTTATCACTGCCAATTGGTCTTCTGTTACGTAAAATGATGTAGAGTCTTATTGATGGATGAAACTATGTCCTTATTTGATGAATTACACCACGATTGAATGCATTAGAATTCAAGAAGTTTTAGTGCCCGGCCACCAGTAGCGCCCTGTTGTTGGCCACGCCATGGGTGGGCTCAAACAGGTACCCCCGACTGTACCCAAATTGCCGACGCTTGGTGCAGAGTACTGCATGTCTTCACCGCCGATTTGTCACGATTGTGCCTTTCTCTGGCTTGCAGATGGTCAGGAGGTGGACACCCGGCTCCATGAGGCAAAAGCCGCCTTTGTACGGACACAACGGGTCAGTCCGGGTGCTCAGCCCCGGCGGCAGAACGGCATTGGTGTCAGGAGACGCCGAAGGGCATTTGTTGCTGTGGTCTGTGTGAGGACCACCATTTCGTTTGCGATAGGCTGTCGCAATGATGATGCTGAGAGTCCCAGACTAGGCGTGCACGACGTTAGATGTTGGTGGGCAGGCAGGGGCCCCCGTGGTGCCCCTGCTGCTGAGACGATTATCTTTCTGCAACACAGAAGCAAGAATGTACCTCCTGAACTAAATATGGGAAAGGGTGAATGGGGTGGGGTCAGGGGATAAGGGCAATTGAAGCATGGCTACATAGTGCCAGGTTGGTTCTCAGCATTGCTGGGCCAGTCAAGGCCAGAGTGACGAGCCTGGCTCATGTACTTATGTACGATTAAACGCATGTACATAGGATGATCGGAGTGTGAGAGAGGGGGTGGTTTGGAGTTTTTACTGGGCTGGGAAAGGGTCAGCGACAGCTGAGAAACGCTAATTTCATGTGCGAGGCTTGTGTGCTAGGAGTGCTTGTGGCACGATACGATATTGGCAGCAGTTGCTCTCAATCGCCAAAGGAGAGCGGCGGGATTGGTTCAAGTTGGATATGCATACCGATGTGTGACATGACTGGGGGCCTTTGTTGCACGGCTGGTGCCTATTGCGCGCCGGAATGTGTCCTCTGGTGCGCTTCTGCTGGATTCATATGCCCTTGTGTCCCTTGCTTTTCAACTGTGAACTACAGCACTGTGCACATTTGTTTTCGCATGTTTTGGGGCAACGAGATACTTACGAGATACTTAAAGAGATACTTGCGCACTCGGTCGTGTGCGAGCGCGAATGTATCGCGAAGATTTCTGCCACTCAAAGGTTTCCGCCCCGCCCAAATTACGTTGCGCCGCAGGGGCTGGTCGTGTCCTGAACTTGCCTCCACCTTCACCAAAGGCGATTCGCGGCTCCCCTGTCCCATCTGCACAGCTGGCGCGTCCCAACAGCGGCGCATCGATGTGCTGGTGGTCGAAAACTCGGCCTTCAGCATCAAGGCAATGCGCTGCCAAGGCAGCCGTCAATGTGGCCATTTCGAAAGGCAACACCTACTCCCGGCCTTCTGCCGCAATCGTGCCCACCCAGATCCACGATCCCATGGAATGTCCGAGCCTGGCTGGGGTCTCGACCCGCGACCTCACCGGCGAGAGAAGTGCCAATCCGGTGGCCTGTCCACTATCTACAAGACAAACGTTGCGCTGCAACGCGGTGTTGCTTTGCTGGTACCGTGCGCACACCCGCCCACGATTTCAGACCATTGTCGGAACCGACACCACTGAAAACTGGCACACGAAGGCTAGGCCTCCCGTGGGCTGCGTCAGCGAACAGTGATGAAGCGAGTCCACCGCAGGCGGTTCAGCCACTTAGAGAGCACGTACTGTGCAGTGGGCGCATCGTTCTAGAAATTGTCGTTGCTGAATTCGGCGCCGTCGTCGTCATCTTCGTCTACATCCCATGGAACTTCGCTGTCCTCTCCCTGAAAGGCCACAAAATTGGCGCACAGCTGTGAATCCACACAGTGCATTTTTCTCAACGCTCTGGCTGCGCAATGGCCACGATGGTCACGAGCGTGGACACTTGGATGCATTAATCATGATGCCACATTTCAGTGATCCTCGTTCGATGTTGACACCTGGACGTTGGTGCAAATTGGCAATAGAACAATCGCAGTACATTGCAGGTCCATTCTCTAAATTGGGCGTGTAACACGCCGTCCCCATATTCAATGATGCCACGGACATGCAATGGTGAATAGCAAGGCTAAAATTGGCCAAACTCCACTGACAAAACCTACTGGAGTGAGAGTAAAAAAACAATCGATATGTCTGGTCTTAAAGTCAGGAAGCCACAACATATCACATTCTTGACACAGTTCAGAAGAAAAAACCTGAAGGACCTCTTCTGCCTTGTTAATTTGCAGCAGGCATCCGCAGATGGAAAGGACGGAAGTCGCATTCTGGCATTCGCAGCAAATGCAATGGATACGACACTTGCAAGAGTTGGATCGTGGATTGTTCCCGTCCATTAACCTGTACCACAGCGCTGAATTCCCTTCGACCCCCTTCGACGATGGGATGCAAGTCCTGGGTTCCAGTTTGTGCGATTCAAACACGCGTATTGTGACGAAAGCGTGCGCATGAAGATGAAGCTAAGTAGCAGGCAGGGGTCTTTGAGCACGGCGTCAATTTGGAGTTGAGCGAAAAGAACATCAAAAGAAAAAACGCCCTGGGGCAGCCTGCAATGTTGATGTCTCGACTATATTCACGATGACCTTGGAGGTTCAACGGATTTGTTCGTCACAAGTCTGGCAAATTTGCAATCAATGGGTACCAAACAAACCCCCACGTTTCCCGCACCTGCATGTCGAACACGTCATCTCCTTCCTCAATTATTGACACCATTGTGGACTCCGTGTCTCCGTCGTCGTCGCTGCTGGCGCCGAGGCTGTCCATGTCCGACTTGTCATCTTCGTCACCACCACCGAGCGACCCCATGACCCTGCCGCGCTCCACCGCCACCGACGCCCGCGACTCCTCAGCCCGCCGGGTGCCCAGTCCTTGGCCTGGGCGCCGCAGCCAGCACGCTCCCATGAGATTTCATGACAATTCATGAGCATCCCTGATCGAGGATATGTTGCATCGGCCCAGCAACAACGAACTGGCAAGGGCTCTTGAATTTCGGAAGGGCTCTGGGTTCTCATGAAAAAAGGCCAACACTTTGTCCATGGAGCCGAACATGCCTTTCTCAAGTGTGTGCTTCTTCGAAATCTAGGACTGCCTTGAGCTGAATGGTGTGTTGCTCATTAACACCCGAGTGGCATGCCAATAGACCCGCCGCTGGTGTTCCCCCTGGGATCCAAAATTTGATTGAATGGGTCGGATTCTAAGCAATTACAGGCAATCTCGTGCGCTCCAGAAAAAGAGCATGGGCGGGCCTCAAGTCCCAGGCTCTCACCCTGCATGTGATCCTCTGACTCAGCGCCTCCAGAGCTTTCCGTTAGATCATCCAGACTACCTTCATGTACATCTTGTTCCCCACGAAGAATGCGCAGTTCCTCTTCCCTGATAAGCAATGGCGCAAACAGGCTCAAGGCCTCCATCTACCAATTGGCATCCATCAGCCCCACTTCGCCACTGCCAACCAACAACGCATCTTTGGCAACCATCAAGGGATGCGTAGGTGCATCAACAACAGTGGAATATAGTGAGCCGTGTGATGCGGAGAATAGTCACGCTCAACACGCTGTTGATTACTGCTGTTGATTATGTGCAAAATCGACCATCGCAGTTCGGCTATCTAGGGAACAAGGAAACGAGTTCGAATCGTACCGAAGCCGATTTTGCAGCTTCCTCAATTTCTTGTTTGAGGCGTCCAGCTGGTCCTGCTCGGCCATGTAGTACTCATTGAGCTCCGCTTCCAGGTACTGGAGGTTTCTGCATCGCTCCAGGTATTGGCCATATCTGCATCGAATTCAGCGAAGAAAACGGAGGATCACACTTCCGTGCGCAATGCATTGGCACATCCATGGAACTTTTGCTCGCAGTCCTTTAGTCAATGTGGCTCCGTGGGTGGCGATGCGCAGAAGCCATCTGTGCTTGCATTCTTGCGTCACCCCTTCTGATCCCCATCCGTGCCATTTGCGCCGCCATCAGGTTGCTTGGCATCATCACATTCATCTGGAAGCGACAATGTACACGCGGCTTGCTTTGTACTATGTTCTCTATGTATTTTACACAAACTTTGCTGCTGTAATGGTGCGGTGCATGTATCACTTTGTGAGATTATGCCCATAAATCCTCGTAATTTTGACCCAACAAACGATCAAGTAGAGAACATGTCACAATTGCCCCTTGGCAGGATCTCTTTAACAAACTGCCAACAAAAGCAATCAACACAACAAACTGCATTGAAGCGTTCCTTCTCATTTCATCAAGGGAATCAGCCCAAATTTGTAGAAAATCCAAAAAAAAATCGAGTATCTGACGTTTGTAACCGTCAACAACACTGTCGTTCAAATGCTGCAATCCAACGCGTTCTCAATGCACGGTGCAGCACATTGTCCAGTGTTGCGCTTTTGCTGCTGCCAGCTACCACAACTTACAATGATTGAAGTTCTGTTTTCAGCTTTTCGTATTCATCCATGTATCCGGGCCGGACGCTCTGCAGCGTGCTCAGGCGCTTCTCGCTTCTGTCCAGATCGGTCTTGCGTTTTTCTATCTTGGATTCCAGACTTTTCAGCGTTCGGTCCAAGTCGGACAGCATGCCCTTGTGCGACCTTCAGCATCGCCATGCAGCGCCCGTCAGCAGTTCACTCATAGCTTATTCTCTCCATTGTGCTGTTAGCACAGAAAACAGCTTGCAGCTATGGTGAGTATCAGGCGCTCTCAGGCGGAATATGAATAGGGAGCTTTTGATGCAAATATCGGACAAGGCAAGCCAGGCGCAAACTGAGCAACTCCAACATACAGCATCATTTCCGGGGAGGTTTGGTCCTCGCATTCGCGACGCCATTTTTGCACGTGCGCTTTTGGGTGCGCGAAAGCATAGAAACACTCATTCGGGAGGCCACGTTTAAGCATTTTCACTCTCCTGCCCGCACCCTTTCGAGCATCCGCAACACTGCATCCACCTCGCCCTCGGCAAGGGCAACGACACGGTCGAAAAAGGTCGCCTTATGCCCACTGCAGCGGGTCTACCTGCCCCGGGCTCCCTGAGTCTATACGTATTGGCTGTACCCACACAGGGTACATATTTACGCAATTTATGCGCTTTTAGGCACAAACACAATAAAAATATTCTTAGGCATAAAACGCGTGAATAGCGCGTGTTTGCGCCATAAAGACGAAGCCTGTTTGTGTGCTTGCCCCGTTGCAACAAATCGGGCCGCAGAACGCCGACAGGGACCAGTTGTATCACGCGATTTCATCCCAATCATTTCCCTTTCAAATTGCAAAATTCTGCTAAAAGGAGTGTAATGTGAGGTATGATGGACAAGATCTTGATGTGGTCAGGCTTGTTATTTACGCTGTAAACACATACCGCTATTACGTTTTTCGCATAAAATAATTCTCACGTTCTTCCCGTAAAATTGCGTATACACCCGCCCGTGTGCATTAAAACAGTACGTATAGACTTGCGGAATCCGGGGAGCGGCAGCCAGCCGCGCTGGAGTGGGCAGAAAATCAACTTTTGTTCGGCGACGTCGTTGCCCTTGACGAGGGCCGGGTGGACGCTATGTTGCTTATGTTCGGGGGGGGCAGAGGACTGATCGCTGTACGCGACTTTCATCGTGCAACCTAAGTGTCCCAACGAGCCGAGAAAACTTATACACATCCTTAAGAATATCCCCTTTTGCAAACTTACGCCTTTGCGTGTAAAAAACGTGAACGCAAAAGAGAAAAGGTAAACACCAAGCCTGGATGTGGTAGCGGTATTTTGGTGCCGCGTTTGCAAGTTTCAGGCAGCCGCAGCTTCGTCTTGATCGGCCCCCGATTTCAGCAAGCGTGCTGTCGCTCCCAATCAACTGACCACTGGCGGTGTACTGCACAGGTACCCTGTGCCTGTGATGCAACGTGCTTCCAGTTCAGTGGGCTCTGCGGAGACGCCTTTCCATGCCTTGTGCGACAGCTTTGCGGCTACGCAGAGCAGCAGAAATGATGAATCTGCGCACTTGATGCTCTCCTCGATCTCGGCCACCGCCTCATTGACGGTCTTTTCGACGAATACTGTGTCTATGTGCGCTCCCGCCGCCCTCAGCCTGGTCTCCCTGAGGCGAGGCTCACTCTCCAGTGCGTCGTGCAGCGCCACGCCCGACTGCGTGATGTCGCTGCACACGCTGCGGATTTCCTTGCCGCTGAGACCCCGCACGGCCGAGGAGGAGGAGTCAGCTAGGTCGCCCTGCGCCCAGCTGCAGTATGTTGGTCTTTCATTTGAAACGATCAGCGCTGTCACTGAAAATCCTCGACTGAGCCTTCATTCACACAGTGGCGGAAGACAGCCGCGGTGTGTTTTGACGAGATTTCCTGCATTTGGTGTAAAGTAGCGAGAGAAATTGATGCTGTTCGTTGGTTTTCTATTTGCGTCGGCTGATTCTGTCCATCGCAAGTTTAGATTTGTTACTTTGATTTACTAATTTTTGCGTAGGGATGCACTTACCCGTCAGTACATAAAACGTCACTCAGTATCCAAAGGTGATGCACTGCATATCGCCTTACTCTTGGCCCCATCGCCTCGCGCCGTTGTCTGAGCACATTCAGGACATACGGCAACCCATGGGCAATGCGTTTTGGATGGATTGGACAAGAGACACATCATTCGATGGGCAACCGCGCGGAGTCCTTTCGCCAGGCTTGGGAAATACTGGAGGTCCTTATTCAGAATACGCATAATATGCGCATTTGGCGAAAACGATTAAAATACGCTTGATTTGAGACGCTCTCTAGATTCTGAAGTTTGGAATTGTTACACTGAATGCCATTCAATTGGGCGAATTAATGACTGCGACCTGTGACTTGCATCCCGTGGACGAGCGACATGTACAGCGCGACACCTGGAAAGCTAGGCGTATTGTGAGTGAAGCGAGGAGCAAATGGTGACATCTAAATTACATGAATTTGCAGAAAGGTTTTCATGGAATTACAGCCCAGCGGGGTACGAGCGCGTACCGCGGCATTGCCACGACAGGCGGCGATAGACACCGGTGTTGCCATCTGGCCGTTATCGCTCAACCTGTGGTTTCTGTGTGTCGTGGGAATGAACAAGACGCTGTGAGGGAGCATATATAGCATTTGCATGAGCTGCGCCATGGATATGTCGGGCACAAATACGGACGGATAGAATTGAAATGTCGCTGAAGCTGCAATGATCCGCGCTGCGTCCTAGCTCAAGCGGGTGCAAGAAGCGGCCAACTGTGACGCTGACGCTCTTTGTGAGTCAAGCATGCGAGGCTGTTTCATGATGTAGTCACTGCTACGGAGGTGTTAAGATATGATGCCGTGGATCAATCCCATATTGGTCGAATACAGATATTAATTGGATAAATTGCATGTCATTGAAGTTGTGATTGTGCAAAATTCTGCCCAACTTTCAGACATATTTTTAGGCTCAATATGGAAATACAGAATGCGCGCATTTTTGCCATGTTTTTGTTTCTGCCGTATCCGTATTTACCAAGACTGCTTTTTGCTCAAGGGAAGGTGCTATGTCGATTTTGTTATGCTTAGCGTCAATTTGACGTTAATCTCAAACCCCACTCCTGAGTGCCCATCCTTCGTCGATGCAATGATGGCTCAGAAACATTATCTGGGAGTGGTATAGAATATCTAGGTGATTCCGAGGACAAAAGACAGTCAAAGTTTAGTCGATTTCAGTGGGTTGAAAATTGGATTCTAAATGGCATTGTAGGGCCTACAATGGACCTCACCTGGTTAGGCGGGCAACCTCAATGTCTGCAGATTTATCCATTCTAAGGCGGTTTCTGAACCACGAGGATTGCAGGAGGTTTAGGAACAACTCGCAGGTTGTTTGCTGCTTATAAATTGCGTTTTGGGGCACCTTCCCTGCTTATGTCGATTTTGCGGAAATTACATAATCTCTTAGCGTCACAGGTCGGCTCCCCCCTCCCCCCGGCCCGCGTCAATTTGACGCTAACTGTAACAAATCGACATAGCGTCTTCCCTAACAGGACTTGGCGATTGCAACAAGCTCAGGGCGGACTTCTGGAGACGCCCACCTAGGAAATTAGAGATATAGAACGCAGCGCATAGGACATGACGGAGGGCACGGGATATTGTCGATGCCTGGTCTCAATCTTTTGATATACCTCAAGAGTGCCTTGAATACACCAAACAAGCTGCATTTATTGGGCGAAAGGAGCTGATGCCATGTGCAACAATTCTCGACTGTCTGAACGGGGCGGGACAGCAATTGAATGTACTCCGTCGTTTACAAAAGGCCTAGATTTCCGCTCTTGTGAGTATGCGCTCCAGCGCCCACCCGCGCCCCCCAGTTCGCACCTGTGCCTCAGCTGTCGCTTTCAGAGTGGCCTGGTGCAGCAGCGACGCAATCTTGAGCATCTCCTTCACGGACCGACCGTCCGCGGCGTACAGGCCTTTAATGCTCAGCTTGAGGCGCGCCTTGGTCAGCATGGTGGCCGCAACGGATTGCAGGAAGGCCACCCGCTCGGCCTCCGTGCTGATGTCGTCGGACACGTCAGTGCCGGGATCGTACCTTGCACACGCATGTGGACAGCAATGGGTCGACACACGACACACTCATTAGCTGCTCCATGCTGCTTGTTCGTGTTTTCCTTTGATTGCTTCATTTGTCCTGCATTAAGGTACTTTGTGATGAATAAAGTAAACCATTGGTGGCGTGCTGCACTGGCTGATGTCCTGATCTCTTCGCTCCGCTGTATTCAGCGTCAGTGCGATTGTTGCCGCGTCCTGATGCCTCCGCGACAGCGTGGAAGGAACAATGCCCGTCCAACAACGGGAGCATAGGGCCGCCGCATCTTGCAGAGGGCGGAGCACATCACCCTCTTGCGGCACGCTCCCCGCTGGCCCACAGGTCCAGCGCACCAGCAGGACGCCGCCGCCTGGACAACGGATTTTGGACGGCGCCAGGGCGCAAGCCGGCGTCCCACCTCCGGACGAGCCAGTACAGACAGTCCGCCACGAGCTCGAAGTTAGGCGTTCGGAAATTCTCCATGGAAATGAGCCGCGGGTAGCCCAACGCCCTCATGACCTCCGTGAAATCTGCCCCACACGGAAAGGCGTCGCCCGTGAGACGTCGACCCCCAGCCCAATCGGGATCCCCCTCGGGCCCCAGAGCCCCCCCTACTTCTCAGCTCCCGGAACGACATGGCCGCGGACGCTCGCCCGAAATCAACCGCCAGCCGCCGGCCCTGCGGCTGTCCGGCCTCCAAATTGGTCTGTAAAGCGGCCCCCTCTCTCCTCTTTTCGGCGGTTGTGAACAGAGGCATGACGAAAGAAAGGCGGCAAAGTCGCGGAACGCTGTGACCCGGCAGCTTGCCGGACACGAGCGTCCGGCGCCCGGACGCGGGTCATTGTCCTGCGTTCCAAGGAGTCTGCGCGCTTTGGCGCATTTGTCGCAGGCCCCCGGCCCCCCCCCACACAACCCTTCGCTCGCGCACCTGTCCCGTGGCCCGCCGGCAGGCGCCATGAGGGGCCGGTCGCCTCCGCCGTTCGACCGCCGGCGCTCGCCGCCCTGGAGGGACAGGCGGCCGATGGGCTCGCGCGACAGGCGGCGGTCCAGGAGCTTCTCGCCGCCGCGCCGCCCGTCGCCGACCTACAAGAGGTTCCGCCGGGAGGACGACCACTACGACAGATAGTGAGTGCCTCGCGAGGCGCGCGAGGAGAGCGCGGGGCTGGCTGCGGGGATGCTGCGGGAGGGGCATAGCGATCGAATCGCGCCCGCTCTTGGGAGCCTGGGCGGGGCCGTCGCCTGATTTGGCTGGGGGGGTGGGGGTGGGGCGGGTGGGCCGGGGGTGGAGGACCCGCCGGGGCGATGGGGCTAACTTCCCAGGGAGAGGCTCGGACAAGGGCGCCCGCGGGCCCGTTGGGCGCTGTGGTCGCGATCGGCCCCGAAGCCTGCATCGCGGGTGCGAGGCTTGGTTGGATCTGCCGCACTGTCGTGGGCGACTGGTTGTCCTCCCCGCGCCGCGGTGCGCCCGTGTTCGAAAGCAAGCGCGGACCTTTTCACTGCGCCGCCGAGGGCCCATCGCTGCGGGCATTGAGCGGCGGCATCTGTCCATCTGGCGTCGGCGGTGCGACCGCGATGGCTCCCGGGCTTGCGCTGCGCGTGCTCGCGGCGTCCACTGAACTCTTGTCGTCCCGCTCGCGGCAGCGATCGCAGGAGCCCCAGGAGGGGGGGCTACGACAGGGACCGCTACGACAGCAGGGACTCGCACAGAGGCAGCTACAGGCGAGGAGGCAGCAGGTGTGCTTCCCTGGCTCCCTGTTTTAGTGCGGGTGGTGAAGAGGATGTCTGACCGTGGATCGAACCGGGTACCGCTGGGCGGGATGTTCCGCTGCTCTGCCAAACCACCTGACCCAGGGGTAGGAAGAGGGCGGTCCAACTCCTTAAGTACCCGTCCACCTAACAGACCATTGTCCTGAATGCTGGGGCACGGCCCGGTGGCCTTGGCTGCACTGCTGGGGTGGCCTCCTCCCTGCGGAAACAGAGCACTGTGTTTGGCCAGGAGAGATGTGTGGGGCAATCCCGAGCAGGACGTTCTTGAGACAAAATTGGCACCGTGGGAAATGGTGCCGCGGATGGGAACAGGGACAGCGTGCAGGCTGAGTGTCATGCACTGCAAGATCAGTTGCGGTCGCCAGGCTGCAGAGTGCTGTGATTTGAAACGTGGGAGTGATTATTTGTAATCTCTACAATTCTGGGTTCCATGCAACACATTGTTGAACATGCTGTTGGCGTTGCCCATGGCTGCTTGGTTGACCTGCACCAGGGAGCGCGACTTCCCTGACTCATACAAGGAATTCATGCTGAGACTGCCCGATGACATCAGCCCTGAGGGCGCAGCCAAGCGATACCAGGAGTATCTTGGGAGCTGGTGGGGCTCAAGGGCAAAAGCAGACTTTGAGCAGAAGAAGGGCGAGCAGTGGTAAGCATGTTGAGCTGCCTTGATCCCATTGAATCGATAGATGTCAAGGCAAACACAGGTTGGAAAATGAGGATGTGATGGGAGCCAACAGGAAAGCAATAAGAGAGAATCAGACATGGCAAAGTACTTGCTGAGAGAATGGCTCGAAAAGAAGTGGTGAAGCGTGGTGGCACCCAGTGCCATGCAGAAGTGGATGGGGGAGACCAGTGCATCTTTGGTGGGTCCAGGTGTGAGTCCTGGGAGCCAAGGGGCCCACTGTGTGGCCAGCCACTTATATTTGGACGAGGTGCTCCTGTGGAACAAATTGGCAGGCTCGCCAAGATTCACATCGGGTTTATCGGATATGTCATCTCTGCCACTCTTGCATTGTACGACATAGCTAATACCTGCAACTTGCTTGCATTCACCACCATGCTCCCCAAAAGCTCTTGGCTGCAAAAATATGAGGAAAAGATGACAGCTAGTTGTGTCACAAACTTTTGATGTTTTGTGGGCTGCATCTGTCAGTACCCGGCACTCTTGTAGTTACAATATTGTGGGGAACTTTACAGACCAACCAACAGTGCAATGCACCACCATCTGGAAACTTGGAGGATACACACAAGACACCTGGCGGGCATTTGAGGTTCGCTGGAATTGCCAAAAGGATAATGTATATGCTGTGCGCAGGATGAGGGATAAATACGATCCAAGAGTTTTCTCTGAGGCCATCGAACGGTGCGTTTGCTTGTCCCCCTGATGCGGTTCATCCACTCCTTTGGTGCACTGGTGGGTGCCAATATCAGGGGTTTGCTGTTGGTAATCAGAACGCCTGGAGGTTCAGCACTCCGAAGTGTTCTGTGTGCCCTTCCTCTCTGAATGCATCTCCCACAATACTTACGGTCTCAAAACCCTTACTCTTGAGTGGGCAAGTGCTGTCCACTGAAAGGTTGGGCATGTCTATCAGGCGCCGGACGCATGCCCTTGAGGTGGCACTGAAGTTTTCAGAGGACTTGAAATCTGGGAACTTGGACCCTGCTGCCAAAGAATTCAACCAAGGTGCAGGGCCGGGTGCTCCCAAGCCTGACAAGGCAAGAGGCGACACCGGAGGTGCGTTTTTATCCTGGTACCATGCTGTTGCACTGTTTGTGTGCAGAAGTTGCACAAGGGGCTCATAATACGCTCATAAGGGGTCATAGGGGCTCATAAATGCATGTCATAGGACCTCTGTTATGCACCGCGTATTGACAGCTGGCAAGAGAGGCCAGAGAACTGGGAAGGCATCCCACATCTTGGATCATCAAGTCCAGCATTGCCTGTTGTGTGGAAAGAAGGTGATCTCCCCTTGTTCAAATGGCTGTTAAAGTGAGTCTTGCTCGTTGTTTGGCACCGTGATGACCTGTTGCCCTTCCTACAAGTGCCATTTAAGACCACTTTAAAAACAAGCTGCCCTGTGCACCAGTGCCACAGAAGTTCTCTTTTGCCACCTGACCCTGCATTTAGTCGGTTTATTAACTGCATACGTACACTGAATTCTTTTGTCGATCAGGAAACTATAGAGCGCCTATTTGATTTCTGTTATTTATCTTTGCCCAACACTGAATTACGGTGCCCTTGCACCTTGTGGGCGGTGGCATCCATTTGCGTTGGAAAGAATGTTATCCGTTATTATTCTGGCTGCTGTGTCTCACCTTGCACAAGCAGCAGTAAACCAAATGCAGTGGTAGCTACACATGTATGCACTGGGCAGCCTTGTGCATCTGCCTGTTAGTTGGATTGTGATACCTGCGATGTATTGATCATGGCAATCCGTGTGCTTGTGCGATGCTGTCTTTGAGCTGTCTGCAGATGCAGTTATGAAACATTGCAAGTGTTTGGGTGCGTGCTATACAAGGACTAATTACTATCGAACAGCGACACAGTCTCCTGCGCTGATTATAGAAGTTTCTTTGCTTGACCAGCCGAGGCCAAAACTGGTGAGAAAAATGGCGCTGGAGGCGGAGAGGCGGGTGCGAGCGACACTGGGGGCACAGATGGCTTTGTGGGGTTCGCACCTGCTCCTTGCTGGAGGTCAGACAGGGTTCGGAGTGACCTGAAGTTGAGCAGGGAGCTAATGGCTAAGCTTGACAGTGAGAGAGGAGTGGAAAACAACCCTCTGTTTGTTGAAGAGGTCAGCAAGGGCCGCCTGCAGTCTGCCGAAGAGCCACATGCTGGTGAGCTGGCCCCAAAGGTGGTTGCAGGTGTTTGTGCAAACTTCTGCAAGAGCTGCTCCAGTTAGTACTGTGTATCTGCAGCTCGTCCAGCAATGCACCTGGCCCCTCAAGTGGATGTTGGATAGGGGCAGCAGCCAGGAGGGTGCTTGAAATTTGCCTGCTGACAATGGAGTGAAGACAAAACATTGGGTGGATGTCGTGCATTCGTATCTGGATCATGTTTCTTACATCTGCTGCTTATGTGTGCCAGTAACATGCTGTGTAAGTGGTATTCTCTGTGCAATGCAGATGGTGCAGTGAATGGGGATGCAGAAAAGGAGGTGGAACAGGCCAAAGAAGCTGAACCTGAAGGTACAGCCAAGCCAATGGACACAGACTGCGCCCCTGAAAAGCCTGGAGAAAATGACCAAGAGCCCAAGGATGATACGGCACCTGCTGGGTCTGGCCCTGATGTGGAGGCTGCAACACTGAAGGCAAAGCAGGATGAAAGTGTTGATTCAGAGCTCCTGGGGAAGTTGGACCTGCAGCTCACTTACCTCTGGAATGTGCACTACATTGATTTTTATGCAGGTCAGCGGCAGCACAGAGATGGCCAAGTGTGTTTTTGCTCTTGTAGCCTTGTGTCCACAGTCGCTGAGAATGTCACCAGTGTCCTGTCATTGTCAGTTATCCTGGTCTAATCAGAAAATGCTGACGAGTTCAATGTCAGCGTGCAGCAGATTTTCAGATTGTATTGTTCTCACAGAAGGCTGTGGGAGAACCACTGGAGGCACATCTGGCCAGAGCGGGCCCATGGCTGTTGTGGGCCTCATTGTGAACATCCTGTCCTTTCCTTCCAGTGATCTCTGCATGTTGTGCATCGTGTTCTCAGGACACGAGCTTAGTGAAGAAGAGTACAGGACAGCAAAATGCCGCATGATTCGTGGACCAATGCCAGAGGCTGGGGAAAACGGATTGAGTGATGCTGGTATGTGCTTGTTCACAATCATTGTGGTGGTCCCAAGTTAAATGGAAGAATGATGTGTTTTTTTTGGTGTGAGTGGAGGTGAATGGCTTCAGTTTCACCCTCCCCCTGTGTCCATGCTGCGTGTCTCATGCATCCTGCTGTTTCAAACCACAGGATATGGGCCTTCTCAGTGTTTGTTGGCACCGAGCATGCTGTGTATCTCATGTGCTCCCAGTGAGATGGAAGGATTGCATGGTCGTTTTATCTCGCCATTTGTTTTCTGCAGACCAAGCGCTTTTGCATGAACTGGAGCAGAGAATCGATGTGTTCTGGCATGACCGCATTGATGGTAGTGACCCCCTGGAGGCGAAAGCACAGACGAAAAGAGTGAGTGGCTGAGGAAAACACAAAGGAATAGTGAGCCGAAGGGAAACAAAGCTGCTGCTGCTGTTGCTGTTGAGCCACCAGCATAGAACAGAAAGCTGGGAATGCTTTAGTTTGCAATGTTTTGCCAACTGAATTGTGGTGGGTATATTGGCGGTGGGGAGCACTTGCTGCTGGGGAGTGCTGAATCCTGCTCATTATACAAGAGCGATGATGGATCCTAGAACAGGTCAACATCTTGACTCAGCTTTTCATGCAGATGTGTTGTGCTGATGCTTCCTTCAGCATCAGTGGCTTGGTCAAAATGGTCTGGTGTACCCAAGAATGCCACTTTGTAATTTTTGTTGTGGGACAATATCATAGGTTGAGCAAGCGATTGAGGAGTTCACCGAGGCGCAGGTCTATCAGCTGGAGGACAAGAAGTGAGTTGTGCATCCCCCATTGCCAAATGTTCCCTGTAGATAGTGGGCGGTGCAGTATTTGCTTCAGTGATGAATTTTGTTGTTTTGGTGTGAGTGCTGTGCACCTGGTGGATCACTTGGTTCTTGTGTTACCTGCTCCTCCATTCTACGAACAGCCACTCCTTGCTGAAAGTGGACATCTGGGAATTGAGCTGTGTCGCAGCCTTGGCCACACCTGTGGCCCTGTTGACGACCTGAGGGTTTCTTTATCTGACAGGACAAAAATCTTCCAGAACAGGAGTCAGCTGGCTGTGGTTGTGGGCTGTTTCGATGTGGAGAAGAGTCCATGGCGAAAGGACACAGATCGTGTTAGGATTAGTGCAGTTCAATCGACTTAGGGGCCACATGCCCAGTACTGCTCACCTCCTGACCGCCAGAATTCCGAAAGTTAGTCCAGAAGCTTGGACGGGCACACAGCTTGTGGCTCAACCACACCACAGTTTAGGGCACGGCTGACTTTGACCCCACAACTCAAGTGTGAACTGAACTGGTGAGGGCAGTGGAGAGCAAGGCACTGTGGTAATGCCCAGAGGAGGGTGCACTGCCCCTCCCCTGGGAAGTGTCCTTGCCAATTTGCCGTTTCAGATTTGCAGCCGGTTGCTTGTGGTCCTTGTGTGTGCTGATTGATGGCTTTTGCAAAGGTGGGGAAACAAGCTCAGTACCAAGCTGTTCATGGGGAAGGAGTTCGTCCTGAAGCACATCCGACTGAAGCACAAGCCTGTTCTCCAGGCTGAGAGGGACAAGGTCTGGCCAGTGCATTTGACTCACATTGTTTGACTTGTGGGGAATCATTGAGCGGCTGTGTGAGAACTGCCAAACCAACGCTTATTTGCCTTCAGGGCAGTGAGTGGCAATCATGGGATGGATGCATGTTGCAGTGTGGGCGGACTTAATGGCTGTCATCTTCCAGTGTCCTGGCTTTCCTGCGCACCAGGCTTGCTGTACATTTATCCCCATTCATGAGGCATCCATCACTTCAACAAAAGTGTGAAAATTCTTTTACAGTTAATTGCGCAATTTTTGGTCACTGGTCTGCGAGCGATCCTCCACACAGGCATTTGTAACATGGTGGATGTACAAGTTGACAACGTCCCTGTCTTGAACATGATGTATGCTTTTACAAAAGAATTTTTGTTTTTTAGAACTGTGACTTTGAGTACAGGGCAAGCGTGGACTATGTATGCTATGTTGAATGCCTAAAGTGAGCTCACAAGTACAGTCTCAGCCCTCTGCATTGGCCATTCTGTTTGGCCTTTCCATTTGTGCAGTGTTTGCATGGCTGGGTGCAGGAGCAAACAATGAACTTACGTCTGTCCCAGTGCATCAACCTGTGTACTGACAACAGCCTGGGTACACAGATACTTGATGAAATATATTATGAGAATTACAAGAAGGAAGTTGAGGCTGAGGAGCAAAGGGCAGAGGAAGAGCGCAGGACAGAACAGGCCCAGCGTGATGAGGTAAGTTGTATTGTCCAGCAGTCCACAGCATGCCTGTTGTATGTATCACCTTTTGTGCTGAGTAGTATATCAAATGTGTACGCAATGTAGACACAATGTAGCCGTGAGTGTTGCTGTTGAGCTCCACCAATGCTGTGATTGATTGCACATATATGGTGCAAAGTAAATGTGGTGGTCCCAAGGTGGTCACCAAGGTGGTGACATGTTTCTGCAGTTGTGGTCTTGGCAGCTGCGGCGATTCCAACCCCTGGAGTGCATATTTTGTTGACGTGTGTGTAAACTGTGTGCCGCTGCGTTTTTGCCATACTTGACAGTTCTGGTGCGTATTCAACACAAGAAGGCCTCGTCAATTTTTGCTTGGGAAGGGCAGCCACTTTTGCATCACGTGTCTCCTTCCTTCAGTAAATGAATGTTTGGTGTGTGCTCCTGTGTTGCTTTGTCCCAGGCTGCAGATGAGGGGGGTGACAGATCCGATGGCGCCCCTGGACGAGGTGGCCACATGAGCAACTGGAACCGTATGGGAGGAAATAGGGGTGGCATGGTGGAAGCACCCATGATGGCAGGGCCAATGATGGCTGGACCCATGGGCCAGGTTCTGCTGCCTGCCCCAGGTGAGGGCTGTGATTATCTGCACTGCAGGATTTGTGTCAGTCCTGTGGTTGGCATCAGCCAGTATCCAGGATGCTGTCAGAAGCACAAAAAGCACTACATTCACACCTCCATGGGCAGATGGGCAAGATTTTGCCCACAGTGTATTGTTATCTTTGTTTTGCCCCCATCAGACAGTCTGGGAGGAGGCAGCAATGTAAAATCAAGCGCATGTGGTAAGCTGTTGTCTTCCCCAGCTGACTGCTGCACTCACACCAAATGCCAATTCGTTGATTGCAGTGTTGTATTTGTGAAGGTGGACATTTGTCGCAAGTATCAGTGCATGGGCAGTGACCATAGGCACCATGGTCTTTGGAAACACACAGCGTAGGATGCACACGATAGTTGCACAGTTGTCCTCGCTTGGCAGCCGCATCCCTCGCAAAGTGTGAAGAAAACTAGCTGCGATTGCACCGTGTACGTGCTGCATGCATTTCACCTCAAGTTGCTGCGGACATCTTGCCAAAGTTGCATCCCATACAATATGTTCATTGCTGTTCCCAGGTGCTGGGCCCCTTGGCCCCTTTATCTTGCAGCCAGTCCCTACTCCGCCAATGGACATGGGGCCTATGGCCAGGCAGGACCAGAGGAGGGGAATGCAGTATAGTGGCCATGTGCCCCGAGGTGGCAGTCGTGGCGGTGGCTGGGGCGGGGGTGTCATGATGGGGTACAAGGACTACTACGACCTTGACGCTCCCCAGAATAACCGTGCAGTGCTGGACTATGGTGACTTGTAATGGAGGCACTGCCGGGACTGTTGGGAGTGGCCTGGCAGCGGGCGATTATGATAGCCGTGTAAGTACTGTGAGAGCAAACCAGCGCTGTCAACATTGTGGCTGCAGACCAGCAGCGGCACAGCCTGGTACTAGGTGCCAATGGCATTGACAGCACGGCGAAATGCCTCCAGGATCCAGCTTACAGAGGTGCAGCATTTGTGTCTGATTTTTTTGATGGGTAGGAGGATCCTGGGGCTATTGTCCAAGAAAGGCTGGCCAAAGCTGTGTGCAGCTGGTGTGCTGACGTTGAGAAGGCGCCATTCTGTAGGATTGACTGCATGGTGGCCTCTGGGTCGCAACTCCGCACAGATGCCACACGTTCAATGCAGTTTTCAGGGTCTGTGGGGCACTGCACCACACCATGTTACATCCCCAGTGCGTATTGCACCGTTTAGGCCAGGTTATCTGGCGCCCTGGCGGCTTGCGGATATCCAGAGCTTGTTTGCGTGCAAGCTGTTGATTGAAAGGGTGCTCTTTGCGGGTGAATTGTATTTGTACACCCCTCAGTAAGTGCCATCATGAGAACATTAACGTGAGGTGACAAATGCGAGGGGTAGGTTAGCCCAGGTTACCTGTGGCTGCTTGGAGGTGGTGATGTGATCGTGTGTGTGAATGGGCGGCGCCCCTTTTCTGATCTTGCCATGATCGGCTGTGTGCTGCGGCCTCATAGTGATGTGAGAAAAGGCCGATGGGCGAAATGAAACAGGCTGATGGGAGGAAGGACGTAGCAAGAAGACTGGAGGCAAAGACGAAATGGGTCAAGGGCAGAACGATTGCGTTTTGTGGGTAACTGACTCGTGTGGCACGAAGCCAATGGTTTGTGTGCTTGCGAGCTCACTGCGAGGCTCACGTTGGTGAAGGGGAAAATGGAGCGTTGGTTGCAGGCACCAGGGAGGTTGCGACGCGCAACTCGCGAATGCCATCGTGGCGGAGTTATGATTATGTGTGAGGTGCTGTTTTTGCTGTGAGGGCATTGCACGGCTGAGAAATGCTTCTGGGAGCTTGCACTCTGTCAACGCACCGTGTAACCCGACATCGGAGCTCCTAGCAGGAAGTGCTAGCAGTGTTGCTATGAAGCGAATCTTCAAAGCAAGGTGCCCGCCAGACTGACGATCGTTGACAGTGATCGGCAGCAAGCCGGGTGACCCAAAATCGTGGTGCTGCAAAAATCATGGCAAGAATCGGGGCACGTGGGACGAAGCAAGAGAGAATGCGCGGTGGCTTCCATGCCCGGCTCGTCGAGATCAACGGGGCCTTGCAGGGCGCAAACAGTCCCGGAAATTCAGCATGTTGCAAAACGGGACCAGATATGGCATCGGCTTGGATGCTTAAAGCGCGGTGGTTCACGAAGCGTCGACAAGACAGTGCCGCCACGAAAACGCTTGTTTGCTTAGCGAGCAGTGGTACCGCCGTCGATTCTGACTATCGTTCGCTCAATCAACGCTCTAACACGGAAACAAATGCGATACGTCCGCCTCAGCGACGGGAGAAAGACCCTTGCAAGGAATTGAGAACAGTTGTAAATGTATTGGGGCGCCGCACAACACGACCCATTTGGGATGCTTGGCAATCAGAAGAGCATCCACTTGATTTCAATATCTTTATATCCATTCGTATTTCCGTCACTCGTGTTCTATAGATTTCCTCACCTCATCGCTTGAGGCAAAACTGCGGACAAATGTAATGGCCGCTGGAGAGCGTCTAAAGCTCTGCGCAAATGAGGAATTTTGTAGAAAGCTTTTACAAAATGAAAAGCAAGAAACGTTCTACCTCCCATCGACTCGAGAAGATCGCAAACTGCTGCAATCTCACATGCAATCTCACATGTGATGCCAAATCAGGGAAGAGTGGCTCAATCCGCACGTGAAGGACAAAAAGCTCAATATCTGTTTTCATGTGTTTTGCAACGTCGACACGCAGCCATGGTGGCATGGAGGTACCTTCCATCAACACTTCGTAATATTCGGTCAACGAAGTCGCCTTCGGCCTCACTTCCGGACTTTCCCCAGGACGCAGACCAATTGTGCTAACAATGCACTTCGGGGGCTACCGAGCTTCCTCAAATCCTAATTATCTATGAGATAACGTTAACAACTAGGGGATCGTTAAACAATCTCATGGTTCTTAATCGTCTCTAATGTCCCTGAGCTCCCAGACCTCCATTCCCTCCCTCGTTCGTTTCCGCTATGCTGATGTTGACTGCTTGGCGGAAAGCAGAGGCCGGAGCAACCAACGCCTAACTTGATGGCGCGAAGACTGGAGAGGCCTGCAGCGGGCCTACGTCGGTCTATGGCGTTCATGGCTCGAGGTCCTCCGGCGGGGTCTCTTCCACGTGCAAGCGAAAGGTGGAGTGGGATCTCGGGCGCATAACAAAGAACCAAGCACGTGCATGTCCCTCAGCCACCCGTTCAGCCCTGTCTGGCCATGTCGCAGCACAAGCCGAGCTTTGCCGTGGCCATGGGCAGTTCCTCGTCCAGGCCATCTGGACAATCTCCCGAACGGCAGCGCTGGTTGAACCATTCACAGAGAGCCCCTACCTAGGCATGTCCAAGTTCTCGCTGCTAAATTTTCTGACTCGCACGTTATGGCCTTCATTTGCATGAATTGAAATAAGAGGCGAGACTTTTGAACCGAGGCAGCACGAGCTTATCAGTTTGGGTGTAATTGGACTAAGGCGTTCAATGATCTGAGCCAGGCTCCAGTATCGCTCCAACGACGAGTCCTTGATAGGTATCCCGGCCTAATATCAACATCCGCTAGGCGTAATGATCTGCTCTTAACGAAGACGAGGAATATATTACGGTAGTTATAAAGTGAATGGTGTTTAGTATGGTATGATTAGACAGTGAACACGGTGATAAATCCAGGTGAACATGGGAACGGTGGCTACTAAATGGGGACATTTCCTGTGAACACTATTTGATTGATGTGCTTGTCCTGTAATGCATCTGCTTGCGGCCTCGCTTCCCGTGCCTGAGGAGCGACCGTGTGTGAGCGCGCGCGAGAGTGTTCAGTTGGCCCAACACTTATGATGGGGCCTTCGCCCTCTAAGAGGCTCACCGACGTCCCGTTCTATATGACGTTGGTTCTCAAAAATCGTCACTGTCGCCACCAATCCCTTTCACATCATTTAATCGCGGAATCACGGCCACACAAAGGCACCAAACGATGCGCCGATTGCGGGGTGATGATCAGTCCCCCAGTCCGCACGTGGTACGCTGTTGGGAACGCAACATGCAATTCAGCACCTCTGCTGGCAACTCTCAAGACAATGGTATTTTCGCTCCTCTCTAATAACTTGACATTCTCGTCGACGGATGCCCCCAATTTGCGCATCCATCTTCCAGCAACCTGCACTATCGAGTCCTTGTGGTCGATGTTGCCAGTCAAATTCTGCTGGCCAGCGCTGCCAACCCACTCCTAACCAGTGATACTGAGCGGTACTTTCCACCGCCGCCACCAATGCGCATGGCTACAATCTCGCGCCTCCCAAACGTCCTCCCCACTCCCCCATCTTCAGCGCGCAGTCAAGCCCGGCAACCTTGCAGCCCATGGCCAAACCGTCGTGTGGATGCGCCATTGTGGCAGCCCTGATAGTCGCATTCTAGTGTCCGTGGGGCATTTCGTTTTATCGTCGGCACTGCAGCTGGTGCTATTGCTGCATATTGGTATCGTAGCACCAGTATCCCAAACCACCGCCGTCGCAAGGCAAGAGAGCCCGCAGGGCGGCTCGCAGACCAGATTTGGGAAATTTCCTTGCAAATAGACGGCAGCTCGCTGGCTGGGTGGAGAAGCCAGCCCCTGTGAAGACCTGTTGAAAGCACAAAGAATGGATAACTAACAAGGAGGCACCATGGGCACCGCCCAATCACACCGAGCTTGGGAAAATCGTCCCGCTTGCGCACGTTGTGGAAAGTTGTTTCTTGGCCTACGAGCTGAATTCGCTCGGTTTTTTATACGTTCAGAAATGCAGGGGGCAAAGGTAGATCGCTGTCAGTGGCGCACAGTGCATCCGGCTCACCCTGGGCTCGCCGTGCTGTGGCCCTCCAGCCTCTGGAGTGCAGCTTCCTCCGCCAACGCCGGACAAATAGTGTTTGGCAGTCTCCAGGCACGGCTCCAGTTTGCATTCTTTACCCCATCCCCGCTGAATTCTGTTTAAAAGCAAACAACATGAACAACACAATATGAGCCTGGCCTAAGCTCCAACACTGTTGCAATTGTGACAATACACAGACTGCAACGCTTCGGACCCAACACAAGGGCGAGTCGACAAAACACAGCGGTCCTGTGCCGGATGCCTATAATTTCACACGCAACGACAGCTTCTACCAATTCAACAACGTCTGAAAGGAAGTCATCCAAGTCCGAACACTGCTCGAGAGCGACAACACTAGTCGACGTAAACCTAGCTGTGCAAGGTGTCGCAAAAGACTTGTCACCCATTGGTTGTGGAACTGCAAGCGCACCAGACACAATTATTTAAATTAACTACATAGGCACAACATGGATACAACGAGAAGACTGGGGGATGGCACACTACCCTCAATTGTGTATGAAATGGCAGAGCTGTGACAAATGCTACCACCACAACATTTCCGTCACCACGAGAGCTCTTCCGAGGCAAGAGATAAATGCATAACAAAAGCTGATGGAAGAAAAGCACAGGTACATCTGTGCTTCTCCGGGGACTTTCCTCTGACCAGCAACTGTGTGAAAGTCAAAAGCCCTGGATCTGAGCATGAAACCGAAAAATGCTGGAAATCTGTCCCTCCATTTACTGGAGCCCCCTTCCACATTGCTCGGCCTTTGGCTCAACCATGTGCACTCGCTTCCAACGGCCCAGATGATTGAGGCAGTTGTGACACAAAGAAACCCTTACTGCCTGAAACAATATATATCCCCAGGAGAACAATAGAGCACCCCCCACACTTCAGGGGTGTTGCGTGCAAGGCCACGTTGAACCCATCACCTACCTCTTAATAAGTTTCACATTGGTTTCATCAGGCTTGAAGGTCTTGGGGTGGAAGCCCTTGTTGGGCCACTCAACCCATGTTGGGCGGCCGATGCAGTCCGTCTTCATCACCAACATCCACAGCAGTTCAAAGCCATTGGAAAATTAGATTTAAAATGGAAGGGCACAACAACTCTCTTTGCAACAATCTGCACTGTCCAAGTGACCAGCCCATGCCAGACAATTTGCCTAACTGCATTCCTCTCCATCGCAACTGTGCAGTGCCCCTCTGTGGCCCAGATGTGACCAGCACACATAGTAGCACTGCTCAAGACACCACTGCACATGAACTTTGTCATCGTATCACTGCTGGTACCAAGATGTTGCAACAAAATATCAATATTGGCAAAATAGAAACAAAAGGAATCAACAGCAGCAGTAGCTGCTGTGGTTGGTCAGCTAGGGAGCAGCCACACTGCCACAGGTACTGAGGGATACATGCATTGTCTTTAATCTGGAGACACAAGGTGCAAAGAGGTGGAATCCACAACGTCATGTGGCACTTCTCTGTCAGCCCCAGACAGCAAAGCTGCATCTACACATGGGACGGGGATGCCGGCCCCCCTTTGGCATATGCAACATTTATTGTGCGAACTAAAGTACCACAGGAGGTTACAAGAGCAAGGTGTTCATTCTGTTGACAACATGGCAGCTGGTCGGGGTGCGCAACCATGCCAAGATATGTGCACTGGATATAAACCTTGCAAAGCACTTCTGATAGATCGTTAGGACATCGAGTTCACCTGGTTGCTGATGCCATATGAGGCCAACAATGTCGGTATGAAGTGCTCATCTGCAACACATGCGCTGCGTGTCATGTTCTGCATGTAGCCTGCCAATTCTTTGACGTTTGAAAAGCAGTACCGCTTGAACTGCTCGCTGACATGCTTGTCAGCCAGGACCAGCTCTGCATGTTCTCGATTCAGGACATTCCAGAAGGAGCTCTTGCGCCAATGCGACTTGTTGAGGAAGTCGGTTTTCATTAGAGGGCTCCACCTGGCACGTCAGCACAAGCAACGGCTGAAGATTCCCTTTGTGTAAGCTTGTGTGATTTGACAAACTGATGCATCGCTCAGTGCAAGGCCAGGTGCATTGCACCGGCAGAGCTGATGCTCTATTCGTAGGACAGGATCCAAGTAACCTGCTGTTAATGTCCAAATTGGGACAAAGTTTTGAAACAGACATGATGTGCATGACTTTGATACTTGTACTTTGGCCTTGCTATCAACATAGTTTTTAGACTACAATTGCTCGAATATGACAATGCTATAAATGGCCTTGCATCCGCCAATTAACATAGTCTGGAGCAATGCCCTGGCCTGAGACTGCTGCACTGCAAACACAACCAGTGTACTGACAGTGCAGCTTTGTCCCATCATAAAAAAAGACACATGCTCATAACATATCCTTTGGGCATTGAACGTGGTGCAATGGGATGCAATCCTCAACAGTTCTTGCATCTGACAAGGCCGACACATCCATCCTAGCTGTTCTACCAGTTTATGTTCATTAGCTCAAAACATATCTTCCATCAATTACTGTCTACTGTGGGTGACAAGATGCCAAGAATATGGGAACCCTGCCCAAGTCTGGCAGCAGCACAGTCTATTGACTGACACAGGTAAAACGCAGCCTGGGTAGGTAGAGCTGGCAAGCTCCACCTGCGATTATTCAACTCCAGAGCTGGAGCTTACCTTCCAGGATTAAGTGCCCCTTCCTTCCCCGGTTTTGGTGGACAAGCCCCGACACGAGTCTTTTTTTCATGGATTAGTTGCAGGTACACAATCTCTGGCCTGTGCACAGGAATGGTCGAGTCCGAGAGCATCACGAACTTCTTGTTCAGTGGGTCTTTCAGTGCCTCCTGCAGCATATTCATCTGTGCCTGGACGAGCAAGAACAGAGCATATGCCCCTTCGGTATCCACCAAATTTGGAATCTTCCTGCCGTAGAAGACGCTCCCCTCCTGAAAGTGATGACTTTCCGGTGCATTGACATATATGGAGAACAGCCTCTGTCCAGACACCACTTCCGCACCTCCAGACGTCACTTTACACATGAAGAAAGGAATTCGTCAGGGTTGTTGAAGATTGTCTTTTTGGCATTGGAGTGTGGCTCACAACGGTCTCCCTCACACCTGAGTCGGCACCTATTGGGAACTCTTTTTAAAATTATACAAGATCCCCAAACTGTAGTGCAGAGAAAGGTGTTGCCATAGCCTCTGTGCAACATGCACACTCTGGAGGCGCTTGCTGATCCAGTTCCTGCCATGCTGGTCAGATCTATATAAGTTTTGAATGATGAACAGCGCAACGCTCTTATTTATTATGATTATTATCATTATTGTGACAGGCAGCAATTCAAGCACTGAGCAATCCCCTCCCACCTCCCCCCCAAAAAATACCACACATCCCTCAAGCGCAGGTGCCCTATTCTGTCAGTTTCATGACAATTTTGTGCAATTCCATAGCCATCGTGCCACCCTCCGCAACATGGAATGGGGACGCGCTTGCAGGCTCTAAAGAACTAACAGTTTCCTGCATCCCACTATTTATTCAGATCGCCCAACCCATCAGCCAACTTGTCTTCTGGTCACAAGAGTATTTTATCCATCAAGTCAATTTGTCACAACAAGCACACAAGTGCACTCACGAAGGGTGCCAGACCACTCCATGGCAGTTTAACTGCAAGCCAATCTGAGAGGCCCATGACCTGTGGTGTGTTGCATATTGCCCAACACAATAAGGATGGATTGACAGTTCAGAGTCAGGGCACAGATACTCAAGGCCCCAAAACCTGGCTGCCTCGCACCTGCCAGCAGTCTGTCCACTTCGTTCTGAAGAACTGTGCCATTGGTAGCCCAGCATCCTGGATCTTGTTTCTCCTGGACCTGAGCATCGACCCCCTGCCCTTGCCCCTGTCCCTCTGCTGCCTGCTGACGCAGCGCTCTGCGCCGCCTCTGCAAAATGCGGCGACGACCGCCATGCTTTATCTCTTTTCTCTTCTTTTGAATAATGTTTGAAGGGTATTCATATTCCTGAAGAGGTTCCAGAGGGGGCTTCAAGCTCCCACCAATCACCTCGGCGAGGTTCACCTCTTGGGGAAGTTCCAAGTCGACTTTCAGCTCCACCCGTGCTGCAGCCTCCAAGAATGCTCGCCACACAGCCTCAAGGGGCATTGGGCCTTGCCCAAGGAACATGAGCGCCACCTGCACAAATTTTCCCATTGCTAAGTTCAATCAACTGCTGCAAGAAGGGACCTGAGGTGAGGAAATTGCATTCTCCCTGTGACTCCCCAGATGGAGCACATGTGGAAGAATCAGCATTCCTGGTATTCAGGCAAAGTTGCTGTGTGCCCAAAAAGCAGCACAACAGTGCACTGAGCTATGGCTAAAATCACACCAACTGACTGCAGAGACTGCAACTAAGTGCATTATTGTGGGGCATGGAATGAGCAAACATGTCACCATGAACTGCATAGGTCTGTTGATTCTTTGTTGCATGCATTTACCTTCCTGGGGCACAACTGTCCTCTTGCAAATAACATTGACTGGTTGGCATTTGTTCAACTAAATTTTGATCTGTTTCGCATTGGGCACACATTCAGCTGGTGTGACGTTGGCTACTGTATATGCTTTACGTTTCTGAACAGCTGAGCCATGAGATCTGGCATCTGTTGCACTTATTGCATCTGCTGCTCCAGTTGTGGTCCTCAAGCACTAGGCCATGGCAGAATCAACCACAGTTCAGCAAGATGCCAGTAGCAGACATGAATGACTGGCGAATTCAGTCGTGGATGGCAGGTCCCTGAGGAAACGGGTTGAGGACCATGTAAGGGAAAGCAACTGAAGCTGTGTTAAAGGGCAGTGGTGGTATGTGCTGGGACAATATCATCTTCCAACCCAAAGGAAACCAGCATGCGATTGTAGTTGTGCTAAATTTTGGTATGTGTGTAACCAATTTTGGGTTGAGCTCACGTTCTCTCGCCCCACTGCGGTTGCGCAAATCAATTTTCCTGCGTTTTGGCGAAAATCTGTTCAAGCCAGTGGCAATGTCGTCGGGCAGATTGCACAGCATTACAACTCAGCGAGATTTCTCACCGGCTCCCACTGAGATCAGAGGCCTTCTCGCACCATCTTTCCCTCCAAAATTGCGTGACCCAATGAGGGACACAACCAGCTACCCAACTCTGTTGCCGCCATACCTTGGGCGCGACATGCGCCTTCGGAGCGGGTTGCTGTCCATCGGGTGGGACTTGCTCCATGTCTAATCCTTCCACAGCTGCATTCCCCCTGGAAGCAGTGCCCTCCGCACTGGGCCCAACTGCCGCCGCGCCCGTGTCATTGAACCTCTTTAGCCAGATATCCAGCCACTTGTCCTTGACATTACTTGCTGCGATTCCTTTCTGCTCACAGCTACAAACATCGACAATCAGCGCCACCTCCCCCACGACCCCGCCCGGCCCGCCTCACGCCACCCCCATTCCCGATTCTTCCCTTGCAGAGATTCGCCCCACATCAGCCACGTGCCATTGATTCAATCACCCATGCGCGCGTCAGGAGCGGGAGCAAGGGCCAAGGCGCCCGAAGGCCACAGCGACGGGGAGCGCCACGAGCCAGCAACCCAACCAGCGCGAGCAGCATCGCCATCCTCGCCACCGCATCCCACCAAAACCAGTTTCTGACGTCCGCCGCATCACGCGGCACAGGCGCAGCCGACCGCAGAATCCCCGCACTTTTGCGGAACGCGAACGGCGGGCTTCGCGGCGGGCTTCGCGGCGAGCTTCGCGCGTCACCGAGTCGAGGCATCGGGATCGCCGTCGCCCTCCCCCCGCGGCCTCAGCTCGTCACCTTCTGCTGCGGGGCGGCGAGCCACAGCACCAGCGCCGCCAGGCACAGCCCCGCCAGCAGCGCGCGCAGCGCCCAGCCGGAGCCCGGCGCGCTGGGAGGGCCCCTGCGCTCTGGGCCGGGTCCCGCCATCACGGCTGTCGTCAGGAGTGGGGTTCGGCGGCCATGGGCCGACACGGCGCCGGTCGGGGGCGGGCGGTCGACCGTGGGCTGCGCCCTGCGGTCCTGCAGCAAGGGGCGCCTGTGCCGCAGGCGAGTTTGGCCGTCGTACAGCACACAGCACAGAGGTGTGTGTTGAGCCTGTCCCCAGAACGCACCGCGGACGGGCGGCAGCCGGATTTTGCGCTCAGGGTCAGTCCCAAGGATTCTGGCATAGTAACCCGGGGACATGTCCCGGCTCCGAGGTCATGTGATTGGGCCGCGCCCAATTCCTGAGCTTCACAATTCCTGGGCTCCACACCCGTTTCATCTCTTCCGTTCCCGGCGATCGTCCTCGCCGTACTCTCGCTGCAACTCTTCAGAGGGGTTCTGATACGGCGCCTTCCATTAGAATGGAAAGCAGCACACGGACCCAATGAACTCCCCATTCCTCTGGGGCCGCTGGGCAAATAGCACATTCACGCTGATTGAGAAAGGCAAAATGTGCTGCTAAAAGCCAAGCAAGGAATCAATGCCGAAACGCTGGCTGAACGTCTGGGCGACCTGGACCTGTTGGTAGAGGGCATAGCCAGCTGGCAATTGTCAATAGTCAATTGCAATTGACATCGCCCTACAAATGTTCTTCAGTCTGCCACGCTTGTTGCCATAGCAAGCTGGCATCGGCGCCAATGAACCGCAGCGCGTCTACTGCCACCTCTAGGTGCGCTTCCGCATTGTCCTCCGAGAAATACACCCTAAAACTGTCGATTCTGACACAGAAGAACCATCGCTTGAGGTGGGCGGCGTAAATGCCATCGTACAGGCAGTTGTCCCCGATCGTCCAGTTCTGCAACGCCGGCAGAGGCAGGGCGTATGCCCAGTCGGGCAACAGTTGCACAGCTTTCTGAAAAACCAACAGGTCGCGCTCAATAGCTTCGAACACGTTCTTGCCCAGCTGCAAGCCGCCGTCTCCAGTGCTTGCCGCTGCCACCATTTGCGAGCGGCACTTCCCTACGGGATCTCGCAAGGGCACGAGGAATCTGGTGCAGCGGTTGCCGCAGAAAACGCAACAAGTCGGCGGCCCCATCCGCCAGCCAAGAGACGTCGTCGTCACCTACGAGCAGATCAGCGCCCATTGCCTGGAACTTAGAGTTGTACCGCGGCACGATTGCAACAGAGCTCATACCCGAGAAGTCTATGGCCCCATTAAATCCGCTCATTTGGGGCCCTGCGATTCTTGGATGATTACCCAGCAGTTTGTGCATTGACTTGGCACCCACCTTGCCTGCACCCAGGATCGAAAAATCAGGTCTGCGCGCCTTAGCCGCTGGCAGCTGGGTGGGGTTGGGCAGAGACATTTTCATCCAAGTCAATATCTCGGTCCGCGCTTTGTGTAGCAGAAGGGGAGAGAACCCCCCTTCCGCTATTCCTTCTTGCAGTATTCCACGCTGAAGTCCTGATAGCCGTAAAAGCGGGTGCTGATCTTTCCGGTGCGCAGGGTCAGGGTCCTGCCGCTTGACGAAGTAGTAGTGGAGGAAGCCCTGGGGTCCCTACTGACTGTAGCATCTAGTTCTGCTGCGTATTGGGTATTCCTTGTATGCGCAAGGGCCGCACCTCAGCCCCACGTAGCAACCCTGCGGCGTGTACGACCTGGCGGCCTTATAGTGGACGGACATCATGGCTCTCATGCGGGCCGGCCGGTTCCCGCGCAGAAGGACCATGGCCCCGTTGAGGGCGCTCCACGGGCCCTAAGTGTACAGCAAGTCTACATAGCATACGAACAGGTGGTCCACCTGCTTGTAGATGTCGACGTCCAAGTCCAACAGCCATCAACTGCTCGTAGACCAGGGCGACGGCCTGCAGCTTGACGAACTCAGAGACGCCGCAGCAGTTCTCGCTGTGCTCAAGGGCCTCATTGTATGCCGCGGGCAGCAGGTCCCCATCGACAGGTTTCTCCACAGGAAAAGTGGAGGTACCTTGGACCTTCGCCAGCCTCGCCCTCAGCAGCGCCACGGCCTCCTCATTCGTGCCAGACTCCAGGGCCAGCACAGAGATGGCGTGAGAGGACACTCGGCGAAGCTGTGCCGCAGCGCTGACCACCAAGGCCATGTAGCCCTCATCCATGCGCGTCACCGCGAAGGTGAACATCGAGTTGTGTTATGCGCCCGGCCCCGGGCCCCCAGACGCCCCTCTTCGCCACACGTGGGGGCGGCAGGTGACAGGATCGAGCTGCGCCTCCGTCGCACAGTTCCGGCTGTACATCTTCCAGGTGTTCGGCTGGTCCGCAGTCGTGGTGCTCCAATCGACCACAAATGCATTGGCCGTTGCCCTCCATAGGCTTCGGGTCTTTTGATTGCATGGATTGAACTATCGAGTGACTGGCGCTGGCCAGCGAACTCCACAGTTTCGAGTGCGACACCCACTGCGCTGCGCTCAGGAATTGCCGTTGCAACACACAGAAGTAGCACAGGGGCAGGGCAGCCAATACTGTGCTCAAAGCTCACGTCTTCCTTAGCCTTCCATCGCTGCTCCAACATCTCCTTCTCGCCAGGGGCATCTGCTGCAGTTTGGGTTGCCCTACGAGGCCCCTGGCAGGCTGCAGCCGGCGCCCAGGAAGCCGCACCTGTGCGCGCCAACTTCCACTTGCATGAACGCGATATGCATGAACGCGAAGAGTCGTATGCGAAGAGTCGGTTTTGGATTTGTGCGATTGCGTTTTCATTTACCGCCATCAAACGCAACAAAGCAAGTGGGGGATACAATGCCCGCAACATAGTGGAGTTGCTGCACGCAGAGCACCAAAGCCGCGTGCCCGTGATGGGTAAACCAACACAGCATCCCTGCTGTGCCAGCAAGTGTGCAATACCAATGCTGTTGCTCTTTCACGAGTATCAGAAGTAGCCTCGAGGTCCGCAGGTGCTTCGGCGAGGGCATTATCGCCGTTTCAGGAGTTCTTTGGGCTTGGCGATAGTCGTGACGACAAGGGCGGGTCGAACGCGAGCCACAATACAGGCGAGTCAAATGCCAATCAAACAACCAGGTCGACGAAACCCAAGGATATGCACAGAGCCCTGTACACTAGCAAAAAAAGGACCAAATAACACTTTTTGCGGACACATGTGTATGCATTTCATCAGTATTCTGCATGCCAAAAAACAGAAATAACCCAAACCCATAAACTTTGTATACAAACTTTGTATACAAGCGTGTACGTACACGTTTGAGCACGTGTTATTTGGCCCTTTTTTTTCCTGGTGGTAACGTTGAGGGCACCCTCACACAACTCAAGTTCCAACACGTGCGCAGCCAGATCAGCGTTAGGTGTTCTATGGCCTACCGCCCCCGCCCCCAGTCTTCGCCTTCTTGTGAGCAACGTGAGGATAGCCCCTCTTCCGTTGTTGGTTGGTGTTGTTGGATCGACGCTACTCCAGGTTTGTGTCTTTGGTGGCGGTACTAGGCGCTTTACCGCCTACTTGCGTGCCTGTGGGAGGCGAGAACGACGCAACGGATAACAGTCACTCTTGGCAGGCAGGGTGCCGGGCAAGCGCAACAGAAACCATCTGGGTGGGCCCACCACGACCTTCGACAGACGCATCAAGGTAATGTACAGGGTTAAACAAATGCATTTATGAATTCTCTGGCAAAATTTATGTGTTTGTAAGCTCTCTGAAAAACAATACATACACACATGAGCCGAAACAACAAAGAAAGCAGCTGCAGCGATTCGACGATAGTGATAGGCAATACCAAGAATGCGCCAAGCCGTTGAATTTTGCTTTAACAAGGAATCTTTAGAAAGGATAGCGCCGTGGATGCTCGAGAGCGGCACGGTTGTGATTGCTCTCCTATTCGGCAATTGCAAAAGCTGAGCTGTGAAACATTTCTGTTTCCCATTTCCATCGGGCCAAGCGCACGTAGCCTTCTCTTCTTGGAAATCAAATTCATCCATGAACTTGACTGTGTCATCTACTTGAGTGCTGCGGCGAAACACACACTGATCATCTGGTCTCACCGCAAACCAATGAACGCATGTGCACCCAGTAGCAATTGGCAGTGGGCCCTCTAATTTTGATATCAAAACTGCAGTGTATTCGCGCGACAAGCTGGTCTGCTGTAGTGTATTCATATTCAACCCTTCCGCATTTTTAAAATTTCGGCCTTACGATTTTGCCCTGCATTTTTCGAGAGGCCTTTATTCTGGGGGGTTTTGCATCATGGTCACAGATGGAATAGCGACTGTGCTCAATTTGCATCCGGGCACGCTAGATGCAACGAGCAGTCCAGCGACTCTGGCGTCGCTGCTGGGCTGTTTTTAATTTTCTTGCCAAATTTTTACTATTGCGCCGCATAAAAGGGCCAAGCGTTACGTTGCTATATACATAGGGCATATATACCATTGTACATGTGGACCGTAGACATTGCATGGCTCTGTTGTTTGTATGCGTGCCACTGCGACGACTGGACAGCCCCCGGGGACGTACCAATGATCATGTGGCACAGCAGCCATCATTACGCCAGCAATAGGGCGCACAAAGAAACAACGGATCTTGTATATATGGCAGTGATCCCTCGCTGGCTTTACCGTCTCTATTGAAACGACGAAAACGCAATTATGCACCACCAGTCACCTTTCGGCAGACACGTATGCGTCACCACAAATTGATACACTGTTTTTTATGACCAATCACTTTAAGCTAATTTGTAATCCGCACACGAAGTCCCTGATAAGAAGCACAACTGTTGTAGCAAGTTGGCCCTTTTCTCAAGCAATCGGATCCTTGCAAACAAGAGGGCTATAGGATAGCTGTATGGGGTGGCGGATGATGTGGAGGAACACTTCTGCACTTGACACCCATGTTCAGACGGGTCGGATTCAGACCCATCGATGGGTCTGAGATATCATAGGATTGCCAGACGCCAGCGAGCATTGCCTTTCGTGAGCAGGGACTCGCCAGCAGACACCGCAGCCTCGACTAAACAATGGTCAAGGGGCGCCCCAATTTGCACCACACTTATCCCCGTCCCACTGCGGTTTGCGATAGCTGCGATGACCGTCTGTGAACGGACTTGTGGCATCAGCAAACTCAAAATGAACCACGCATATTCCCTTCAAGACACCACAGAGATTGTGTCGCTTGGCCGGGTAAGGTTTATAATTAAGGGTTGGTGTGTGCAATACTGTTGCGCACACCATGGCTCCTCTACTCCCAAGTCCCCCGGGTCGAAGGGCAGCATACTCCTCAGAACCTTTTTTAAAGTTGCGAACCAGAACCATGTGATCCTTGGTTCCAGCTGCATGCAGACCACACTAAGGTGTTGTACAGGTGATATTGAAGTCGAATGCAATTTGCGTCAAGGCATTATCGCCAACCATTGTGGCGCATACTATGCTGCCCTCGCTTTGTAAAGTGCACACGTTCGGGTGCTCGGGCCGTTCGGCCAAGCATCAGCTCCAGTTGCAGCACGATGTAGCCAAAACATAGATTACAAAAGAATCGTGGCTTATTCGACCACGAATTTGCGACCACAATCGCCTGAGTCCGCAACACAAAGAGCCTGGTCCATTCTGTCAGTCCCCTTGCTAGTAGACCTACGGCGCTCGCATCCCAGTTGTGCTTATTTGCCACAAATAATGGCCCACATCTGAACTGGGAAAAGAATAGAACTAACAACTGATTTTCCCAGCCACCAGTAATCCTGACTACCAGCTAGTAGCCCCAAGGGGTCCTTCTCCCAATCACGTCCTCCAGCATTCTGTTGTAAGGCGCAAAAACATCCTGCAGTCTACGCCTCAGCAGCGGCATCAGCTGCTGGTGTTCTGGCAGGGTCATGTTCGACCTCGAATTTGGAATCTTACCCTCCAACAGTGCGGAGCCGTGGTACAGGGACACATCGGCGCCAATAAACTCAAGGGCGTCGTGGAGGACTTCGTCTCTGTGCTCCGCAAAGTCCTCAGTGAAATAGATCCTAAAATTGTCCAGGCTGGTGTGAAAGAACCAGCGCTTCAAATGCGCGCCATAGATGCCTTCGTAGATGCAGTTGTAGGAGCTTTTCCACCCATGCAAGGGCTCTGGAAGGAATCCATCCGCCCACCCTGGCGAGGCAGCCACAGCGTCTTCGAAACTTTTGAGCTGGCGATCGATGACCTCAGAAAGGTTCGAATCCATGGTTATATCCAGATTCTTTTGCTTCACTCGTGCCCGCATCAGCATCTGCGAGTGGCATCGCTCCACTGGATCACGCAGGAGGACCAAGAACTTTGCGTGTTTGTGACCGCAAAGGGCCGGCAGCTCTGCCGCATCATCAATCAATCGGTAGACGTTGGAATCGCCAACAAGGAGCCCGCTTGGCACTTTCTTGAACTTGTTGTTGTACTTGTCCAGTGGCTTAACGCTACCATATATCTCGCCGTCCGTTGGAAATCCTTGGACATGGTGGCTGAACACTTGTGGGTGGTATGTGAGCCAGGTGTAGAGGGCCGTCGTACCCGCTTTTCTTGCGCCCAAAATCCAAAACTCAGGACGGCAAACCTTGCTCTCTGGCTGTGTGGACGGATCAGTTCCTAACCTTCTAATCAAGGCAAGTGCTGACCCATTTTCCCCTCGTGTATCCTTGTGAACTATGAATGGTGAGAACCCTCGCCTTTCGAACTCAGGTTTGCATTTCTTCAAACCTGAATCTTGGAAGTCATACAGGCAGGTGCTGATTCTGGCAACTCTAAAGCTGGGGTCCCCACGCTTCACAAAGTAATAATGTATAAAACCCTGCGGCCCCTCCTGGCCAAAGCATCGAACATTGTATTTGCTGCACGGACCACCACAATTGCAGGGGCCACACCCCAGCCCATCAAAGCAAGCTTCCTGGGTGTATGTGTAAGATGTGTTAATGAGCACCTCCACCATGTGTCGCAGCCGATCTGGCCTATTCCCACGCACAAGGAACACTCCACCATTCAAGGGGCTCCAGGGTCCTGCTGCGTACAGCAGGTCCACATCGCAGTGGAAAAGGTGGTCCACTGGCTTAACTAATGTCGCATCCAAATCCAAAACGAGGACCTGGTCATACGGTAAGGCCACAGCATGCAGTTTCAGGTACTCTGACTCCTTGCAGCAGTTTGGGTTCTTCTGCAAAGCCCGCACATATCCTTCTGACAGATCTTCAATGTTCACAGGATTGTCCAGCAGATAGAAGGTCGTGTTTGAGATGTCGGACAATTTGACTGCCAGCTCCCCTATAGCCCCTTCTTTAGCACCAGACTTGAGGACCATCACTGAGATTGGCCGTGAGCTCATGACACGAAGTCTCTTGGCCGCATCCAACACAATGTTTGTGTACCTCATGCTCAATTTTGTGACCGCAAATGCAAAGGTCGTGTTCTCCGGTCGCCTTCCAACAGAATCCAAAGACCAGACTCGGGGATGGCAGACTGTAGGGTCGAAATGGGTTCCGTATGCGCTGGGATGGTCATACCGTGTCCAGCTCTGCTTGTCATCGACAACTATGCTGTCCACTGCCAACTGCCGCTGAGGTGGCCTCTGAATCTCAAGGTTCGTCGAATTGGGGATAAGCATCCCTGAGTGTTGCCACTCCACCCAGACTGTGATGATGACCACCAAGGCACAAACCTTGACCAGCCCCCCGTTGCTGAGGTGGCAAAACGTCCTGGGCGAATGAGCCCTACCCATGGGCTGCTTTTGGCCCAGTATGCCACTGGCAAATGACTACTGCTGCTCTTGCCTGACTATGCCACTGGCAAGTGACCAATGTCTCTTGTAGGCAAGAGACGCCTGTACATCCAAGAACAAAGCTCAATATGGAAGCCATAAAGCTGGCAATATGAATCCTTCCCAAGACACCAGATCTTTCGCAAACAAGATGCCGATCAAGGCAGTGGCTCCTGCACTGCTGCCATGACTAATTTAGCATGCCCGCATCAATATTCTGTAAGTGAATTGGCAGTCACCTGTGCCACAGTCGTGGCTGCACAGACCTGGTTGTGTTCGAACGACCAATTGGAACAGCACATTGGAGGCAGATACACAATAGGCTACACGTTCAGGCCAAAATGTCAGAATGTCAAGTTGCCAGAATGGCCAGCATACAGTGTAGCTAGATGGAAATCGTTTGGGGTCTGAACAGTCTTGCCATGTGCCCACACCAAGTGCTATTCCTACGTTCCACATCGACATCACATTTTTCCCATGAAGGCGATGGGAGAACAGGGCTTGAGCACTCAAGCCAGTAGTCGTAACCCCAATGGGTCAATATTGACCATTCGGTGTTGATTTCAGTGCCGCGAATGTGTGCAAAAGCGTGGGTGGGCGATACATGACGCTGATTTGGGACAATCACCTTGTGATGCGACTACTACAGACGTAAACCATGTCGCCAACATGTTGAAAGAGGAGACATCTAGTTGAGCCCAGCGCCGTAAAACCCAAAGAGATCCCAGCTTGCTGAGATGATGGCTTCACCAGCGTGAGATTTTCACCTTCAACGACAGCGTTGCCGAGGGACCATCCCTATGCTGCACAGCAACGAGCACCAGCTGCGTTTCGCCGCGCGGACACTTGAGATCCTGGGCCGAACATACAGCGATGGCTTGTCGGGCACTCCTAGGAATGTCAAAGGCGAAGGGGACGCCACAGATGGCCCAGAAACCTCGAAATCTGCGCTTTGTTCCATCCGGGGACCTTGACTGCTCAACAACAATCTTGGCCCACGCTGTAGTGGACGCTGAGGCGAGCGCGAACTGCTCAACCACAAAATGCTTCCTTGGAAGCACTTTCTGCTCGCCAAGCCACCAGTCGCCAAGGGCACACCTCTGTGAGAGCGTCTGGCCTCCTCGCGCTGCGCGGCTCCGTGGGCCTCCGATGCTTCCTGGGGCCCAGCTCAGGGTCACTGGCGACCCGCCGGTAGCGGCACTCAAAGGGAGGATTGGAAGGGGCTAGCTGCTCCTTTGGGCGCAAGTTGCCTGGCGGTTCAGGTTGGACCGAGTGATCGTGGACGAGCAACAGGGTGCTCCAATACGACCCGAAGACTGCATTTCACCCAGGTTATATGTACGAGACACATGCGGACTCCAGGTCCCCAGGGTGCTTCGCATGACACAAGAGGCCACGGCCGCCCGATGTGGTGTGCGCAAGAACGTGGCGCACAGCTGCATGTGGCTTTGAAGAAACGCGTGTATTTAATCCCGTACCAAATAATGTTGAATCTGGTGCCAAACTGCCGCCTTACCAAAAAAACTGAAACTAGCACCAAACAACATTGAATCTGGTACCAAACTGCCAACTTACCAAACAAACCTGAAACTTGTACCAACACATATTGAATCTGGTACCAAATTCTCGCCCGTACCAAGAATGTTGATTGGTGTACCAAAATATGTGGAACAGAGTACCAGTTAGTCATCGACTGGTAGCTTGCGACCAACCCTGCGACCAGCACTGGGCTTGCGCTTGGTTTCAAAATGCGTTTACGTAGTACCAGGCTCTAATAATAATAATGTTGGTACTAGTTTCAGTTTTAGTTGGTAAGTTGGCAGTTTGGTACCAGATTCAATATTGTTTGGTGGATGTTTCAATTATATTTGGTACGGCGGGAGTTTGGTACCAAATTCAGTATTATTTGGTACGGAGTTAAATAGGTTCCTTTGAAGAATCCAGGGGGAATCGAGGAAAACAGCACAAGTTAAGCGCGGCTAAATGGATTTCTGTTGCATGGTTCTTCTTCCTTTCTGAACTGAACACTGGCCAGGTGTGCCGAAAACAAGCTCCTCGATGCTCCCTCCCACAACGCCCATGAAGCCTGCCCGTAGCTTCGCAAACCAAAAGTAGTGTACCGCAGTTCTTTGCACTCGTTTAATCCTCAAAACGGAATTCAATCTCCAAGAAATGAGTCGGCCAGAGCTAAACAAGATTGGTAGCGGGCTTTGGTCCCCCTTGGAGTAAGGAGGCCGCTTGTCGATCAAGAATGCCCGCCAAGGCGCCCATCGGCATGCAAGCCTTGCCCGTTTTTGGATATCTTGCCAAAATTACACAGATCCCCTGCCATCACGTTCAAATGCAGCCATTGGAACAATGGATACAAAGTGCCTTTTATAGGCTGCCGGAACATGCATGGCTCCCAGCTGTTGGCCAACAGTTGCCATGGCAGTTGTTATACATCCCCACCTGGCGTTTCCCAAGCGCCCATCCGCGTGTCCTTAATCAGAAACACCTTAACTAATCTTTGATCACATGAAGCGTGCAGCTTTTTCTCCGCTCTCTTTCTTCATCTAGGCCATGTCTGAACCACCAATGAACACACCGACTTGCATGGACAATGTTCGACAAAATTCATGGCAAAGGCTCTGATTTTTTAAGCGATATTGGTGACGGGTAGCAGTGGGAGTGAAAGCAACTCATGAGCTCACGATTGTGTTCATATCCACACAATATGAGGACAGATGCGGCTTCTGGCCTCAGTTCTGGCCAGAGTTTTGTGGGTTATGGAAACTGCTCCTTCATTATCATACATCAACCGCACACATTGAATATATGGTCAGATCGTTACAATGCGGTGCTTGCACTACAGACAATGGCAAGCTTGACAAATTTGCCTCTGCAATACAATGTCAAGATGTTCGAGGCTGGTACACTTCTGCAATTCTCTCATGCCACCTCCAGCGGCTGTGTCACACAACGCGAACGATACATACTTGAGGGGAGCCGGCTTCCGAACATATTTAAGACCTACATCCCTGATGGACATGCCAGAACGTGTATGATGTGAGTAGTCATTTGGACGTCATCCAGGATCGTCAATTCTGGTCATAGTGTCTGGACAAATCCCAGAGAACCCGCCCTTGATATTGCATGTAAACACGCCCACACACTGTGTCCAATCATCATATATGTTGTCTAATGATCAAATTGCAGGTGGTCAGTCCACGCAAGTACCCAAGCCTTCTCCCGTGACATTCTAAGCGCATGGCCGTTGCCGCGCTCAGGATTGGAAGCATTAGGATCTGTCAACGTTTTCAAGCTCCACTAATAATAAACAGACCATATGACACAATCATGACACGGTCTGCTCAAAATCCAATTGTGTAACTTCGGCAAATATGGTCCCAAAAGTACACAGTTAATACACACATTGACACTGTTTTAACCGTGCATCCTAGGAAACCGTGTAGTAAACACAGTTGTTTGAGGTTACACGGTTGAAACTGTGTCAACGTGTGTACTAGCTGTGTACTTTTGGGACCACATTTGCTGAAGTATACAGCTAGATTTTGAGCAGACTGTGTCAGGACTATGGCCTGTTTTTTCCTAGTGCTCAGTCCACGCCACAAATCCACAATTACGAATCCGTGCCCATGCAACATCAGCTGTGGTAATATCAGCGGTCCTACCAGTGACACAAACTCGCTCACAAGCCATATTGCCTCTTTATGCATAAGCACTAATTCCAAAGGCTACGCATCCAAATCCTCACGAACTTCCCTGCGATCATGCTGGCCATCTGCTGCCAAGACAAATCTCCATGTAGACGCAAAATAGCTATGGATCTCGTGGCACAGCATCAACACAGCTAGGCTTGCTATTTGTGTTTACAGTTCCACTTTGGCGTTCACGTTTTTACACGTGAAAATGCATAAATAGAGAAACGGCCATTTGTATGGACATATTTACGTATATTTACAGCTCACCGACGCATGACGATGTCCCAATAAACGACAAACCCACCACTCTCTTCAACACCGGCAACACATAGCGCACTTCACACCCAACAAGGTCAACGACGTTGCTGAGCAAAAGATCATTTTATGCATAATTTTGTGTATTTCAGCGTGCCTAATTGCCATTACCCGGAATCTGGAGACTTATTCAGGGACCTCTGTGTATATATGTACTGTATTTATATGCGCAGCGCCCATATTTCCAAAATTTTATGCCTGTTTACGCGTAAAATGTCAAAGAACAATTCTATGTGTAAATAGAAAGTGTTTAAGCCTTAAACATTAAACTTGAGCACAGCTTGTTCGCCAGTTCTACCACGTTCAAATTGGCAACGTTGCATTGTCCTATTTCCATTGAAGAATGATGTTCAAAGCACTCCGCGATCTAGATTGAGATCTCAGGGCGTGGTGGTCCTGATGATTGGTTCCCAATCCACCATCGCCTTGGTCTAGAGCTGTCACGAACGAACAAGTTGACAGGGTTGACTACACGATCAGGTGCTCGATTATCGGACACCTACGGCGTCGCCGCACAAGCGGTTCCCCAAAATATCATTTGTTCATCACGGGCTGCTTGCATGTCACTTGAGTGCAAGGGGCTCAACGAAAAACATGCCAACCACCAGATTTGTTGTGACCGTAAAATTCAAAGGCGTGAGGGGAATGGTGGGGGTAGAAAGTGAGGCTGTGCGTCACGGCAGCTCATAACCAGATGCAAGCACGTCCGGTTCGGACACCCGTGGGCTGTGTCAGCTGAGGCAGAGAGAAGGGCGCGGTGGTGGGTGCTTAGGCTTTGTGCAGGGGGAAGGGGGCATTCGGCACAAGTTTTGCAGCCTACGACTTCGGCCTCTCTCTAGAGGCCGTAGGAAGCTTCCTACCTTAAGGTGCACAAGACCCTGTGCCGATAGCTGCTTGCCATCCAAGATCGATCCCTCGTTCCAATCGAGCGAAACACGCCAT